CTTTTTTTTTTTTACATTTTGAATAGAGTGTAGAGGAAATGGAACACTTTTCATTTTTTTATTGCTGTCTATGCCCCCATCAAGGAGATTCTCCCTCTCTATTTGTCCTGGTTACCATAATTATTGAAAATGAAAATAAAAGAAAACCCAAAATTTTGGGTTGTCCCCAGAAAAGTAATAGAGGGGAAATCTTCCAATAGGGTCACTAGTTCTGGTAACTTGGGGGTTTCCAAGGAATTCCCTTAATTTCCCAGGATTTCTGCTCACTTTCTGTTTGGCTATGGGACAGGAAGTGAAGGGAAATCTCAGTAATAGGACACAAATGGCGGAAAAAAATCTGACAGGGGTTACGATCCTCCCTTACTATGTCCAAGATGAAAAAAAAAAAAAGTTTTGCCTATAGCTCTAATTTAATTAAAACATTTCTTTTTATGAATGAAATAATGGTGATGTGCAAGGGCGTTGTATCGTCTGAAATACATAAGCATATTGGGTACTGGCATATGGGTATTTTAACTGATTTGGCCTTTCTTTATGGAAGTGGAAGAGAGTTGCTGTGTACACACATACTGTATTTCATTTTTGGTTGATCTAAAGCAGTGTTTCTCAACCTTTTTTCAGTGAAGGCGGTCTTTAAAAGTCTGCACAATTTTGAGGCACCCCATTCTAAAATGTAAAAAACTAAACTAATAATTTTACTTAATGCAACAACATTCACACAAGTAGGATACACCATGTTAAAGGTGACTTATTTTTCCAAAGCAAATACACCTTTGCACACAGGTACTGACTAGGATTCCAGTGTTTTTCCTCTATCTCAGTTTCTCTCCCTCAGCTAATGTGACCCCAGTGGAGAGGGGCAGGGTGGGATGCTCTGTAGGTGCTTGACATCCTTTTTATAAACCGGTGATGTCATTGGTTGTTAGGATGCTAGTGGCTGGAAGGTTGTAATAGTGTACAAAGAAAACCTGTGGCTTTGTAAAACTAAAAAGCAGGCTTCATCCACTCATTGGCTTGTATACAATTTTTGAGCAATTTTTAGACGTTTTGCCAAGGCACCCCTGAAGAAATTAAAAGGCACCCCAGGATGCCTGGGCACCCTGGTTGAAAAAGGCTAATCTAAAATATACTAGATGTTCACTGTACTGTATAACCAAGGGTTTTGAATACTAGACACATTGTACATATGCTTTGTTGAATGGTTTGCATGGTGTGTTACTGTGGGGTTGATTTACTAAAACTGAAGAATCTGATGCAGGTTTTTTTTGTCAAAGCTTAATTGAACAAGGTAAAGTTAGGGCTCGTTCACACTTGACTGTTTTTCCAACTCTTGCCAAACGCCCCTATAGCGTTTGACAAGCATTGGTCCGGCATTTGCGGATCGTTTTTTTAACGCTCCGCAAGCGCCGCATGTGCGGTTTAGCGGCGATTGCTAGGCATTTGCCAAGTGTTAAAAATGCCCCACAAATGCCTATAATGAAGTTTGAATGGTGTTAAAGCTCCGCAAATGCCCCGCAACCACATCGCAACTGCGGCACCATAGACTTGAATAGGAGGCTTCAACTCCTCCTGACTTGACCAGAGGCGTCCGTTTTGCCGCGACGCAAGGTGACGCTAACGCTCTCGTTTGAACAGCACCATGTGCTGCAATGTGCAGAATTTTCCCAGGTGTCTGGGAAACGGTAAAAACGCTTCCCAAACGCCTGTCTGCCGCTTGCTAACAAGGCTAGTGTGAACGTAGCCTAAGAAGCTGACTGGCTACCATGCACAGCTGCACCAGATTTTGCACACTCCAGTTTTAGTAAATCAACCCCTATTTGTCAAGCAGCATTTTGTGATCAGTGGAGCCTAATATATGTTGTAAATGTGTTATAGTTAGCCTTCAGTAGTCTTTTTGACTCTATTTAGAAGCATCCAGTACTGATTACATCCAGTGGTGAAGCAGTTAATATACAGGCATTAAACGATTTTCTTCTGCACTCAGCATAGTATGCAGCCAATATTCAATCAATCACTTTTTCTACTGATGGATGATCACCAATGTAGTTACTGTGGCAAAGTGCATCGTCACATAATCACATTTGCTCAGGGGCTTAGGAGAGTTAAAACTGCATTCTGTAGGCTAAGAGTGTCATACGTGTAAGAGGGATAGAGCAAAATATTTTAATCACCCAGACACAAAGCCACCGCTTTTGATGTTGAAAGCACAAGCGATATCTTGTGGTAAGTGTAATCAGGGTAAAATATATTTCATCATTTCAGACTCTCAAGCCATTTCTGCCTATTCACACTGGTTAAATGATGTGCATCAGTATAGTTTCTCGAATCTATGAGTATTGGTATATAGAAAATAATTGCATCAAGGTTCTTTGTGAATTATATGATTCTGTATGTTATTTTGGGTTTGTGTCGCTATTTCTTATTTTATTGTCCTACACTGTTAAAATCATGGTGCCAAATTTCTGCTTTGAATTAACTCTGGAACTGAGACTGCTATTAGTTTTCTACAACAAAATTAAATTTAGCTTATGACTGATACTAGTTGGCTGAACTTTACCCGTAACTTTTGTTTTTTGCACATAGTACTATAAATGATTGATTGTATAATAATATATAGTCTACATATAAGCAGTTCTAGTAAGCATAGTTTCAGTGATGTTATAGAAATGATGTTTGTGCCTTTGCAGTTTGAACATGTGTACATTAGGAAATCTCTGTTCTGTAATGTGTTAAATATTGCATTTGTATAGTTCCCTGCTGCTAGGTCAAGACAGGCTCATTTGTTTAATACATTTTCTCAGATTATTTATGTTCTCTGAGTACTTAATGTAATGGAGTGTGATATATATCACCTACATGTGTATTGTAGTGAGCTCCAATTTACATACATTTTACATTCCTAAAGATTAAATATGGGTGAAATCAATATGTAATCACTGCCTTATTTTGCCCTAGGGATACTGCCTTTAAAATTGTCATGGGACTTTAATAAATTAACTGTAGGCATGGAATCTACATTTTCTAATTCATTTTTTTGAGAACTGTAGTTTTGTAGTGAAAAAATATTCAATTCACATATCTGTGTGTTTGGTTCCTGATCTGCTTAGAATTCATTTTGTACATTGGAAGCACTCAAGCACAATGGATTTATCCTTACTGCTTTCCTTAAGTGCTTGTAAACTAGCTTCTCTTGATGGCCAGAAGGTTATAGGGAAACACATGACTGTGTTGAGTACCATGTGTCTGTAGGTCCATTTCTGAGAGCAGTAAGGTCATGCAGCCAATAGACCGAGCAATCAGACAACCTGAATGTTGGTCAACTTAAACCTGTAATGTGTTTATGTATTCCTTACTTGGCATATGAGTAGTGAGGTCCAAATTTACCAAATGCAGTACATGGTAATCATTATCTTTGAGTAGATGTTATTTTCTACACATTAACTTTTTTTGGAATACAATCTGAATGTAAATCAGCAAGCATTATATATATTTTCTTGGATTACAGTCTGAACACAAAACAGAAAACAATCTACAAAATTTACTACAAAAGTACTATATGTTTATAGATACTTTGAGACTGATTGACTAAGAGTCATTTTAACTTGGTGCATCCTTTGTTCAAATATCAAGTCTGACTTGTGTTCAATATCTGGTCATTACTGATGTTGATAAAAAAAAAACCCTGAAACATCTGTGCCTGTATGGCCCTGTAATAATAGGTTACATGTCTATAATCCTCTGCATGGTGTAAAAAGACCTCTTGACCCTGTCTTTTGTGCTCCTCCTCTTCTTAAAATGTCCACACCTTATCTCCTGATAAGACAGACTGAACCCGTAGCCATTCTGCACATACTCAGTTTAGTGTGTATTGCTAGAGAGGTTTTTTTTTTTTTTTTTTCTTGGAAGAGTGCATGTGATCAGCACAGGGCCAATCAGCAGTGTCCAGACAAAGGTCAAGGATTCTGCATCCTCCTAGAGCAGAAAGAAAACTCCTCCTACATGCTGTAACCAGTGCTCGGCTGAACACTGATAGAAGCCACAAAACTGCTCTAACTTGTGATGAGAAAAGGTATTTAGCAGTTTATATTTACTAAAATAATTGCATTTCCATGTTCTGTGTACTGTGGAAGACCAAATATAGTGAATGCAGGGTCCTGGGCTTAGTAACACTTTAAGAGGCAACTTTCATGTGACTTTTGAGAGTTTAAATTGCAGTCTATGGCACTCAAGTCGCATGAAAGTCGAATCAAAGTAGTGCAGGAACATTTTTTAAGTTGCTGCGACTTTATGTTGCATAGATTTGCACAGCTTCCATTGAAATACATAGAGTGCGAATTGTCATGTGACTTTATATGTCCAAAGTCACACAAGTTTGAATGGAGTCTGTTCACTTCACTGTTTTTGTTCTTGTCGTTTGTAAAGTTTTAACTTACAAAGGTTGAAAAAATGAAATGAAAAGGCATGAATTTATATTAACCTGTACATAAAACTGAAACTGTTGGGTTACGTTAATAAAGTTGGGAATCTTCACTTGCAACTGTGTTCACTTTGAATACCCAGTCATGTGCAGATATAAACAGGAATTTGCTTTCTACATGATTCACTCAATTTATTCTGTGATTCATGTGAAAAATTCTCAAATCCTTTAGTAAAACAGCCTCTCTGTATCTGACTGATTGTTATGGAAATCACCTGCTCTTTTTTTCTTTAATTGAGCATATGTGTTTTTGCCTTGTTTGGAGAATTTGAGTTGGTGATTTGATGTCGTTGCATATGCTGCATAGCAGTTTCATTTGTCAACATATTGTTTTCCTTTATTTTTTTTTAGAAATTTAATCATGTTATTCCCAATAAAATTACAGTTTTTAATATGATTTTTTTTCTCTCTTTATTTTCTAGTTGATATCCTCATGATAGCGGGCTCAGTATTGTGAAGGAATCTGTTGTGATAAGAAAAGCTTCTGTCTCTCAGCGGGAGTAGACTTAGGCAGCTTAAAATAATGCAGAAGAAAAGATTATTACCCGGCAGAGCTTCTTTGGTCCTTATTTTATGCCAAGTACTTACAGCACTAGAAGTGCCACTTGATCGTAAGTATCAGTACACTCAAAGTTTTTCTTGTTATCCACCTGTGACTTCCAGCACTGCTGGAATCTGTACTACTGGAATATTTTAAAGTCATTTGTAGATTGATGGCTGGGCTGAAAGTACACCTCTTTATGTGAATGCCAGCGGCGTGTCTGTGTTTGGCTTCAATACTTTTAAGTAACAGACCTTGAATAAGCTTGCAGCAAGAGAAAGTCGGAGAAAAGTCAAAGTGCTGTGTACTTATTCTAGGTCAGTAATTCCGGAAGTAAGGGGGCCAAAATATGTACATGAATGCAAGGCAAATGACTTTGCATCAGGAGGAGTCCACAATTAGGTGTCATTAAAAATTGATGGAACTGCAAGCGCAACACATGTTTGCAACGCATTTCTGAAATGTGCACCAAAACGTGCATATCTGTGTGTTTTGTTGCATGTTTAGGAAACATACATGTGTAAATGCAACCTATGGGTTCTTTAACACCAGCTAGCCATATTGATTGTTCAGCTGCTGGTGTGTGCTGGGAGGAAACAGTGCTGATGTGCCAATCACAGAGCCACATACTGTTTTTTTTGTTTTTTTATTTTAACCCTACTGAAATGACACATTTGCTGGGAGTAAATGTGCTGATGCATAAGAAGAGCACAATGCTTTTTTTTTTTTTTTTTTTTATTAAGTTCCATTCACACAGCTGTGTTGCAATGCATTTGATTGCTGTGCTGAAAATCAAAGTACTGCATGCATGTAACACAGTGGTGTGAACTGCCCTCACAGGTAACAAGGCTTTTTGCCTTGTCTTGCACTGGGTCTACGCTGGATAAGGCCGCCCACCACAGTACCCAGCACACCTGGTGTGAACGAAGCCTTATGATTAAACTGTTGCATGTAACCATCACTTAACGGATAAGTCTACCTTTGGGAACATGTAACGTGTTCCCAGCGCTGCAGTCGCTGCCCGGTCCCCCCCTCCCTGTGACAGCAGAACAGGAAGAAGTTCCCTGTACTTGCTGTCACTTTTTGAAAACAGCACGACCATGGGGGCTCTGCCCACACAACCATGGCATTCATTCACAGAGCTCAGTGAATGAATGAACTACAAGTTCCGAAAGCCTTTGTAGCTGTCTGCTTGTAGTTCTCAAATAACTACCATGGCACTGTTGAGCACTGTGGTAGTTCATTGCGTCTTCCTGTTAGTAAGAATCTCCTTGCCTGTATGGGATGTACGAGCACACAGATACACTGACAGGTTTGCAGGAGTCCTGCATGGCACCAGCGATCTGCTGATCTGGTGTAATGCTTTCCAAGCTCAAAAAAAAATAAAAAAGTAAATGCACATTTTTTTGCCTGTAAAAAATGGGCATTTATTATTATTTTTTTTTAAAAGTGAACGTGCCCTGTAATATATATATATATATATATATATATATATATATATACAATGAAATCATGTTTACAATAGAATAACAAGCAGAGGCACATATTAACCACTTGCCCTACAGAAGATTTACCCCCTTCCTGACCAGGCCATTTTGTCCATTAAGGCGCTGCGTTACTTTGACAATTGCGCTTTAATAAAAAGCACTGACACTGTACTAATGGCACTGGGCAGGAAGAGGTTAACATCTGGGGCAATCAAAGGGTTAACTGTGTGCTGTATGCTGTTTCACAGTATGCTCTGTGTGTGCTTTCCACTGTAAGCACACTGATTTGTATGGCTCTGCTATGCAGTGCCATACAAAGCAGTGTGCAGGAGCTGACGGGAGAGAACTGTATTGTTTACATACAGTTCTCTCCCTCATCTGTAATGTTCGGCGATCACCGGGTGCTGGAGAGTAATCACCGGTCGGAACCCAGTGATTGACATACGAGGCCGCGAATGGCGCCCCCTACCTGGAACTGAAAAATCATGTGTATATATACATGATTTTGCACACTCCTGCTGCCCTGTAGCAGTATTTCTGCTATAGGGCAGAGGGGAAGCCGTTAATCTTTTTCATGAAACACGCAAGTACTACTTCACCTTCCATGTTATTATGTGCGATGTTTGCAGTCCTTTGTTAAACCTACTAAGCACAGGCTGCCTAAGGTGAATAAAACCTGCACTCTATAGTAACATTTTAATGACCTTTTCCATTTTGATCATCTCATCATTAACAGCACAAAAAGCTTTTCCACCATTAGCCCCTTATCACCAGCAATAGCCAACGTATTAGAAATTTGCTCTATACTGACTCTAGATGCTAGATCTATGCAAAGGGTAGAGATCTTAAAGAGAATTGGATGGGCAAAGATAATCATAAAGTCAGAAAAATTTCACTATAACTTGGTAATTTTTAGCATTTGTGAAGATTTTCTTTTCACATACATGTCTACATATCATCTAATAAAGATTAAGATATTAATTTAATTGTAGGCGCGTTTGCTGTCAGTGATTAAACTATATACTATAACTTAATAAGGCAGTACAAAGAGTCCTAGTGTACAATAACCTGTCACAACCAATAAGAATGCACCTTTCCTCAATTTAGAAAATTCTGGGTGATGAAAGATATCTTCAGCCAATTGGTTGGAGTTGATGCACTTATTTCTATTAGCTTTATTTAAAGCCCAGCTCCAGTCAAAACATTTTGTTTCATTTCAAAGGTTTTTCTTGTGTATATGTCCCTAGTGGGGAGATTTTTCCTCACTTTCTTTCAGGACAGGAAGTGATGAGAAATCTCTCAAATGAGCACCCTCAAATACATAAAAACACATAATTTAGGTAGAGTTAGAAAGGGTTATAGCTAGCACAGTTTTTATGGTTGTCTATGCATCTTCCTGTCCCCATGATATCTGCATCCCCCATTCTTTTACAGGCATTATAGGCATAGAAACAAGGCAAAAGCTCTCCAATGGTGTCACAGACAGCAATATATACAGTGAAGGAAATAAGTATTTGATCCCCTGCTGATTTTGAATGTTTGCCCACTCACAAAGAAATGATCAGTCTAAAAATCGAATGGTAGGTGTCAGGGGTGGACTGACAACTCATGGGGCGCCTGGGCAATAGGGGATCATGGGGCCCCTGTGTCCTTGCCCAAACTCAAAAAAGCCTATGAAAAAGGTATCAGGGGCATCTCATGGGGCCCCCTACTGACCCCGGGCCCGCTGAGTTTCCTAATGGTCAGTCTGCCCCTGGTAGGTGTATTGTAGCACTGAGAGACAGAATAGCAACAAACAATTCAGCAGAAATGCATGTCTATCAAATGATGCACTGATTTGCATGTTCATGAGGAAATAAGTATTTGATCCCTTTCACAAAACATGATTTAGTACTCGGTGGCAAATCCCTTGTTGGCAATCACAGATCTCAGACATTTCCTGTTGTTGGCCTCTAGATTTGCACACATCTCAGGAGGGATTTTGGCCCACTCCTCTTGGCAGATCCTCTCCAAGTCATTAAGATTTGGTGGCTGATGTTTGGCAACTCGAAATTTCAGCTCCCTCCACAGATTTTCAATCGGATTAAGGTCTGGAGACTAGCTAGGCCACTCTAGGACCTTAATGTGCTTCTTCTTGAGCCACTCCTTTGTTGCTTTGGCCGTGTGTTTTGGGTCATTGTCATGCTGGAACACCCATACACGACCCATTTTCAATGCCCTGGCTGAGGGAAGAAGGTTCTCACCCAAGATTTGACGGTACATTGCCCCGTCAATTGTCCCTTTGATGTGGTGAAGTTGTCCTGTACCCTTAGCAGAAAAACACCCCCAAAGCAGAATGTTTCCACCACCATGTTTGACAGTTGGGATGGTGTTCTTGGGGTCATAGGCAGCATTCCTCCTCCTCCAAACACAACGAGTTGAGTTGATACAAAAGAGCTCAATTTTGGTCTCATCTGACCACAACACTTTCAGCCAGTCCTCTTCTGCGTCATTCAGATATTCAGTGGCAAACTTCAGATGGGTCTGGACATGTGCTTTCTTGAGCAGAGGGACCTTGCGGGCACTGCAGGATTTCAATCCTTGTCGGCGTAGTGTGTTACCAATTGTTTTCTTGGTGACTGTGGTCCCAGCTGCCTGGTGATCATTCACAAGATCCTCACGTGTAGTTCTGGGATGATTCCTCACTGTTCTCATGATCATTGACACTCCACGAGGTGAGATCTTGCATTGTGCACCAGACCTAGGAAGACTGACAGTTGTTTTGTGTTTCTTCCATTTGTGAATGATAGCCCATTCCAGTCTTCTGTAGGTCTACAATCTTGTCCCTGACATCCTTGGACAGCTGTTTGGTCTTTACCATGGTGGAGAGTTTGGAATCTAAATGTTTGATTGCTCCTGTGGATGGGTATCTTATACAGGTAACTACATGAGATTAGCAGCACTCCCTTTAAGAGACTGCTTCTAATCTCAGCTTGTTACCTGTATGAAAGACACCTGGTAGCCAGAAATCCTGCTGAATGATAGAGGATCAAATACTTATTTCTTTCTTAAACATGCAAATCAGTGCATAATCTGTTAGACATGCATTTTTTTTAATTTTTTGTTGCTATTCTGTCTCTCAGTGTTACATTACACCTACCATTCGATTTTCAGACTGATCATTTCTTTGTGAGTAGGCAAACATTCAAAATCAACAGGGGATCAAATACTTATTTCCTTCACTGTACAGCATGTAACAGAAATTGTATCTCTTCTCTAACAAAAAAAGTTTGTGTCCCTTAAATCGTGGCATCCAACATTTTTGGAAATTGATTAACTAAAACATCTGTGCCATTTTTCTTCTCCCTGCCTCATAACTAAGGGTGGCAAGAAACAGTTGCTGATTTTAAGCATCATGTTCCTTACATCCTAGAAGTCTTACCAAGTACCACCACCAGATAGACACTTATTATCACAACTCTTACAACTTGATGGAAAATCTACCTGCAATCAATCTAGATCCTTTACTCTTCAATGTAAAAAAGTGAAGGAGCAAAGTGCACCTTATCTGTTCACGTCTAGTCATCTCTAATTAAAATAGTTATATTATTGCCCTTTAAGATCAACACAAGCATGCTTGTCAAAGTACATATGCCCTTCCTGTAATAAAAGCTGTTCAATGTATATTTGCAAGATATTTGTTTTTTCCCCTGTCTGTGTAACAGTGGGGAGATTTCTCTTGTCTACGTGTCTCGGAGATGCGACAGGAAGTAAAACTCTCTAAAGTGAAGGAAAAAACTATTTAGATTACATTTTTTCCTACGAGTTGTTACTCTTGGTTATAGTAGTTTATGATGAGTAAAGCCAAAACTTTTTTTTTTTTGTTTGTTTTAGATAGAGTAAGGGAGGGTTAAATTTGGGTTGGTTTGGTAAAGGATTTGGAAATCTTCACACAATAGTGTAAATATTCACTTAGGTTCACTTCAATTATCCAGTCATATGCAGATGAAAGAAGTAAACAGGAATTTGCTTTTCACATTATTGAATAATTGAAATGAGTTAAAGTAGAACTATATGCAATTTTTTTTTAAATTTTGGCTAGAACAAGGGAGGGTTATAACCCCTGTCAGAATTTATTTTTGCCATCTGTGTCCCATCGCGGAGATATACCTTCACTTCCGGTCCCATAGCCAAACAGGATGTGAGACGAAACCCTGCACATTAAGCAAATTCCTTGGGAACCCCCTGGTCACCAGAACTAGTGTCCCCATTGGAACATTTCCCTTCTATTACTTTTCTGTGGACAACACAAAATTTGGGATTTTTCTTTTACTTTCAGTTTCAATGATAATGGTAAATAGGACAAATAGAAAGGGTGAATCTCCCTAAAGGAAGCACAGACAGCAATAAAAACTGGCAAGCATTCTAATGTCTCTCCACTCTGTCCAAAACTAAAAAAAAGATTTGTCTTTAGTTAGTGATTCTAAGAGTTGGATTTTTTTGAAAAAAAAAAAGATAACATGTTATACTTACCTGCTCTATACGATGGTTTTACACAGATCAGCCCCGATCCTCTTCTTTTTGGGTCCCCTACCAGCGGTCCTGGCTCCTCTTCCCAGCCGAGTGTCCCAAATAGCAAGCCTCTTGCAATTGGGGCACTTAAGCAGGCTTGTTACCAATCCACCCTCATGTGAATGGACATTGTTCTTTCACACACAGAGTGTGGCTCTGCTCCTCCCCCACTCTCTCCTCATTGGCTCACTGGCTGTGATTTACAGCAGCAGGAGCCAATGGCCCCTGCTGCTGTGTGAGCCAATGAGGAGATAGAGACCCAGGAGAGTTGTGGCTTTCATGCACATTGCTGGAAGAAGATGGGACTTGGGTTAGTTAGAGGGGAGCTGCACCCAGAAGGTTTTTTTTTTTTTTTTTTTTTGCTTTAATGCATAGAATGCATTAAGGTAAAAAACAGTCTGGTTTTAGAACCACTTTAAAGTAGTTATAAAATTAATGTAATTGTTTACCTTAATACATTCCCTGCAGTAAAGTAAAAAACTGAACACTAACTGTTCCCCGCCTATACCCACCAAACACTTACTTGAGTCCTGCCAGCAGTCATGTGCTGTGCACGGTTGCAGGTCTTTTCCCTTCACTTCCTGGTCTCACAGGTGACTCAGGCCACAGTGGGAGCCATTGGATCCTGCTGCTGTCAGTCAAATAATTTGAGGAGCTAGTGGAGGTATAGCCGAGCCACACTCGAGCGACTTGGAAGTGCACCACATAGGTGTCCCCATAGCACATGGCATTCTATGGAGCACCCCCAGAAATAAAGGAGCAAAGAACGAAGAGAAGGCAAAGGACCAGTCTGTGCAGTACCATTTAAAAAAATGGGGCTTTAACATTACTTTAAAGTGAATATTCACACAACTTATTTATCATCAGCCTTAATAAATCAGACTTATTATGTCGACGACCATTGTCTTGGGAGGGAAAGTAAGGGAAATTCTTTCCAATGAACACAAGGGCAGAATAAAATTCTGACAGTGGTTCAAATCCTTCTTATTTCAGTCCAAAAACAAAAGAAACAAATTTTGTCTACAGTTCCACTTGAAAATTGCACTTTTTTCTTTCTGTGACATACTAAATAGTTGTACATTAAGATGAAAAAAAAACTTTTTAACTAACAGTCAGTCTTTAAATCTTTGTTTATCTTTACAACTGCTGATTCTCTTGTGTGGAATAAAGCACAACTTCTAGAGCAATGTAAGTTCTTGTGAAGTGGTATTGTGCAGCATGTTTGGCAGAGGTGGTGTGCTGTGCTGCTTATTACAGTAGCTTGTTTGTTTTTTCTGTAGCTGTTCACCTGCTTGCCTTTAAGTTCTTTTATCACTTAAACACTTATTGGTTAATTATTGTTTTTGTGTTGATTATTGTATCACCTTTTATAGTTTGCTGTTCCCCTTGTGTGGTGTTGGATTTTTTTCTATACTTTGTGAGTCTTTTTTTAATTATATCCGATTTTATTTTATTTGGCCACTAACTGTGTTTTATCGTTCCTAATATGCAGTACCACAGCCTCCAACTATAACTCATCAGTCACCAAAAAATTACATTGTGGATCCAAGAGAGAATATTGTGATTCAGTGTGAAGCCAAAGGAAAGCCCCCACCAAGGTATGTTTGCCCACTGCTCTATGCACTTAGAGGTCAAGTGAGATATTATATTAGCTGATGAAATTGTGGTCAGGGTTTCTCAGCCAGGGTTCCATGGAGCCCTAGGGTTCCTCCAAAGTTTGCTAGGGGTTCTTTAATCAATGAGCAATTTCTGCCTCTCAGATAAGTTCCCACTGACACAACTGATTTTTTAGCTATGTGTAAGGGAGTGATTCTTCCCAATGACTGCAAGTTTAAGGAGCTTTCTTCCCACTGATCATCCCGCTAATGCATTATGACGTGTATATATAACAATTTTAGCAGGGATTCCCTAAGACTGGAAAGTTATTTCAAGGGTTACTCTGTGTTGAAAAGGTTGAAAAGGCTGATATACTGTAGCTGTTAAAATGGGACATTTATTATATATTCCTGCCTATAGCCTCCTGGTGTGGCTGTGGATGCTGTATTGAGCTGAAGTGAGCAGTTTAGTACACTCCAGCACTCAATAAGTGTTTACATACAACTCTGAACCTCCAACTTGCATCAGATTCCCTAGTTCCACTAAGTTCTTCCTATCCTCTGTTGGTCTTCACCTGGAGAATTTTGGAAAACTGGGTTGAATGCCATCTGAAAGCATGGAGGTGCTTTATGAATTCAGCTTTGGTGTGAACTAGGCCTTGCTGTCTATATTATATACCTTGTCTAATCTAAGTTCCGTAATATCAAGACAAATCATATTCTACTAGTAGAAACTGCAGTGGACATCAGGCTTAAGGATAGAGCCAGTTTCGTCAAGCTGATATTTCAGAAATTAGATCAGTAGTTGACCTAATAAGAAAAGCAGATAACAGCCTGAGAACTCTGGTAATAAAGAGCTGTGTGATAATTTTATATGGGTAGATGTACCAGAGAGGACAGCACATTTGAATTCAAAGCTAAGTAGTGTAGCTACAATCTGTATATATCTGTATGCACTCATTTTGTATTAATACACAAGTTGAGACCCTGGCCTGTGTCATTCATAATACATTAACAGTAACATTATAATACTGTATTTTTACTGAGATTTAGCCCAATCGTAAATCATTTGAACACTTTTGAATCTCACAAGCATCTCCCATGTGAGAAAGATATTTTATCATTAACAGTGCTACAACAAAATATATTTAGTCAAAACTCTATATCACTTAACCATCTGGGGCTATCATGTGGTTATTTGTGAAGTTCCTGCTTATACGCATATCTTGGAGAGGTAATGCTATTGGAAGGATATCACATAGTGGTTGGTGAGGGCCCCATTTACTTCTGTTACTCTGGAGCGATATGACAGATAAACTATATGGGCATCCTCATTGGAATAGGTGTTTGCCTTTTATACAGACTGGTGGGCTATAACATCTGACCCTCAAATAATGAAGTATAGAAGCCAGTGCCTCATATCAGCAGTGGTCTGCATCTGTCCCGATGACTAATTATACTCAAGGATTCCTCTGCTTTTAGAACATCATTGATTGATTGTACGCTCTGCCAGTCCTTCTTAGCACTACAATAGAGGTCATCAAATAATTTGGTATATTTCTGTAGCATAGATGTGCACTGAGAACGTACTGTGGTCTACATTAATTGTGGAGTACTGTCTGTTTTGCAAGGAGTTGTCATCAAATTACAACCAACCAATCTCAGTAGCGTCAAGGATATCAACATATGAGTGTCCATATTGTTTGCCCCATTATTTTGTTATCTATCTTTTTATTCATTTATTGATGGGTTGCACCATAGTGCGTTTGCGCATGCTGCATTTATTTTAGCCTAAAAGTAAATCTGAGAGTGTTTTAAGTAGTCTAACATTTACAGCTATTGATAATGATATGACATCTATGGACTCTGATGTGAGCTCAATTCACTTTACTATGAGTTTGGAGATGGATGCTTATGTGTATTTATATTGGTGGACACTTTGGGACAGGCATTATTATTATACTGAGTTTTGGAAATAGTTTGCCAGATGATAATAGTGATTGTTCTTCTACACAAGGCACCTATGATATATGGATATTTATGCAGGACCCTGCATTAAGTTTTTTTTTTTATGTTTTTTTCTGGACAGACAATAAATAATTTAGACTATAGATATTTGGTTTAGTACTGTTGTCGTTTAGATATATTTCTCACATGAGAGATGCCCATGTGTGAGACCCACAATTGTTGAACTCATTGTATCCTTCGCTTTATGTGGCCTATCTTTATAATTAACATGGAGTCTTTCATAGATCTAATGTCAAAGAATAAAATATAATTGGGTTTAATGGATTGCTGAACTTAGCACTATATAATAAATAAGCCCAACAGTTTATCCTGTTCACCCATAGAAACCAATTAGATTTCATCTTATTGTGGTCAGAGCATTACGGTGTATTTTTAATCAATGTGGATTACTGAGTTTTGAACATACTGCAATAAATCTATTACAAAATAGTTTATTAAGTACTACTGACCACATATAGTAGAGGGTCAATGCAGGGTAAAGTATACAATGAATAATGTTTAAATTAGTTCTAAAGCCTTAAGTTTTTTTTTTCTTAAATTATTCTCTGCATTAAGGTAAAAAAAAAAAACCTTCCATGTCTAGGATCTTCCTCCCCAATAGTTATCTGAGCCCAATCTAGATCCAACGCTGTGTCCGAGAGCAGGGGCTCTCTCTGTTCCCTTCCTCCATAGAATCACTTTAAGCTCTGCTTATTTGTTTCTCCCCCCCCCACTGCCATATTTGGCACCTTTTGGGGGGATGGGGGAGCGGATATCTGTTTTTGACAGGTACCCACTCCCATGTCCAGCTCAGTTAGCTGCAGCAAAGTGAGCCAGATGTTCAGCCCCCTCCTTCCTCCCGCAGCCTCCTGGGAACCTTCAAAGGTCCTAGAAGACTGCCAGACCAATGAGAATGCGCAGCGCGATTCGCACATGCGCAGTGGCCACCCGGCTCTGACGTCGCAAGCTGTCACAGCCTGGTGCCCACAGTTGTGATGCCGGTGCCGGGCAGAGAAGAGGCAGAGAAGGGACGGCACGGGTGAGCACATCGCTGGACCTTGGGACAGGTGAGTGTGTGTTTATTAAAAGTCAGTAGCTACAGTTTTTGTAGCTGCTGACTTTTAATAAACACAAAACTGTCTGGAACTCCACTTTAACTCTATATGTTATTCTGCTTCATCTGGGGGATAGGTTATTATGTACACTGATCTGTTTCTGCAGGCATTTTCAGCCACATCCCTGTACAGGCAGTGAATAAATCTATAGAAAACGAAAGATAAGTAGTTTAAAGGATATCTAAACCCAACAGATAAATGTAATCATTTTCAGAATATTTAGCATGTGCAGAAAATACTTGTTGATCATACCAGAAATGCAGTGCCTATATCACCTCTTGTAAGCTTAAATGGACACACAAATATTCCCATTTGTCTATCAAGCTATCTTCTGGAAACTACTAATTACCATGCCCTTTGTAATGAAAATTAATAGAGCAAGACATATTTGTAGTTCAGATAAGTAAACTACCCTGGGTGGCAACTATGGCTCTCTGCCTAGATAAAAGAAAGAAAAAAGAAAACTAATGTAGCCACAACATCCAAAGACAGGTAAACTGCAATATATTATATGCTCTACTGCCTGTACCTAATTCTGAACCAACTTCTGTTAAGCAAAAACAGGAGGCAGATCAACTCACTCAGCAAATGTAAGGTGGAATTATTTTACTTTTTTAAAATTTTGTAATGTTGCTACTCTTGTGATTAACACACCCCTACTACACTTCCACCTTGGAATCTGAATGAGTCTCAATACCAGATCTATGAGCTTCCCCCTTTGCTCTTCCCTTCCTGTAAACTCATAGATCTTCCCCTAGGTCTCCTTTGCCTTGAAAACTTTAGAATTAAAGCTCTGTTCAGTGCAGTAGACTGGTTTGCTACTAAGGCTGGTCATGCACCAGTAGATTTGTACATGAGCTTTCATATGAATATTCATATGAATAGTCATACAAAAATGATCAGTACATTTGATAACTTGATGAATGTCATTTGAAAGTACTTCTAAATTTTGTTTGCATTTAACATTTAGTTCTGTAATTAATGTAATTTCCAGAAGGAAAACCACATGTACTGTTAGAAATAATGTTTTTTGCCAAAAATTTCTTTCCTGCTCCTTTGAGTTTTCTTGTCACTATGGTCAAAAACAAGCATCAGTTTAACCCCACTACTGATTAGAAAACCAAACAAATGTTCTTAAATCATAACATTTTGAACAAAATTTGACTAGCGTATGGCCAGCTTAAGGAAAGCAGTCTTAGGAGGAGATTTACTAAAACTGAGGCATTCAGAATCTGGTGCTGCTGTGTAAGTAGCCAAACAGCTTCTAACATCAGCTAGTTCAATTAAGCCTTGACAAAAAACTTGGAAGCTGATTGGTTTCCAGATTTTGCACTTTCCAGTTTTAGTAAATCCCCCCTTAGTCTTAGGTGTTCTGAAATGGAGGTTCTACAGACTAGGTTGCGGCTGATATTGCAGCTAATCAATTATGAAAGTGTAAAACTAGATTAAAAAGCATTATTTATTAATGCATTTATTTATTAGTTGCAGTGTTCTTTCACAGTTCATAAAACTTAAAAACTGAAAATGTTGCTGATGGTATATACAGATTACATAGTGTAGGAAGGACTTTTCGGTTTTCAAAGCTTTACTTTCTTATAGATATTCTTTTACCTGTGTGTCTTATTATAGCTTTTCTTGGACTCGCAATGGCACCCTTTTTGACACAGAAAAAGATCCATTAGTAACAATGAAACCAAACTCAGGAACCCTTGAAATAAATATATTAAATGGTGGAAAAGCAGAAGCTTATGAAGGGGAATACCAATGCACTGCCAAAAATGACCGTGGAACAGCTGTATCAAACAATATTGTTGTTCGTCAGTCCAGTAAGTAGTTCTTTACAAATTAACTTACTGTTTCTGTATGAAATATACTATGGAAGTTAGCAATCTGCAAAGTTCAAACTACAAGTGTTCATCATTAACAATATACATTTTTCTTTTTTTCTTTACTTCTTTTGCTTTTATTTGTTTGTACTGTATTTTTTAATGTTTTTTTTTTTAATTTTACTTCCCGAATTTTGGTAAGCAAGCTCCATTTTATTAAAATTCTGATTGCAATTCATGATGCAACACATTTCCATTTTCTTTTCTTTTCAATGCTGGATTTTCTGTTTAATTCTCTTGCTTTTTTTTTCTTTGATTAAAGACATCTTTATAATCCTCAAAGCCATCTTGTTAGAAGGTAATCCCTTATAACTCTGGTTAAAAAAACTGCATGGAAGTGCAAACTGTTCCTTCAACTTTCCTACTTGTGGGACCCCTCCAGAATATCCTTCTCCTCCATAATGATACAATCTCTCCATAGAGATTGTAGAGACAGATGAGTACAGAAGTAAACCTGGGTAATGTGTCCTCAAAGTTAAAATAAGGGCACTGCGTGTAATTGCACCAGAAATTAAATGAAAGGGTAATGATCTCAATTGGTAATGACAGTTTCAGATGTTCACTCACACACAGACTAGTATGTCTGAAAGCTCATGTCATGAAATATAAAATGGATAAAACACAACAGGATCTGTATAGTGCCAGGGGTGATAACTAACCTTCATCTATTTAATGAAGTAGTTACGTTGCTGATTTACCATTGATATCATGTAAATGAATTCTGCTTACTAGGCATAATAGAATCTTCTACATTACCCAGTGTTTATCTTAATTCACCAACGTCCCATTGTCTATTGCACAGATACCCTGTATGTTATTACTACAATTCCTCTTAATTTTCCTTTTCTTCAAGCCATACACAGTGTTCCACTTAGGTGTTTATTCTTAATAGCGTGTTCTAAACTGTGAATGCTGAAAGTACCCATAGGCATAAGATGATGATGATGTTGGTTAGTTAACTATCTCACCACTGGAAAATACTATGTACATCCAACATCTAAAGACATTCTTTAGTGCATATCATATTGTCTATACAATATAAAGTGTAGCACCAGACACTTTTGGGAACAAGGGAGAATCAGATTAAGAATTCCAACTTTTAAGGTGTATGTCAAGTGAAACATTTTTAATTAGTCTTGGATAAAGTATGGACATTTACTGCTATTCAGAGGACATTTGTCGAGATTTTTCCTTTGAACTCTCCTGCAGCACCAAAGAAAAAAAAAAAATTTTGTAGTAAAATAGGGGAAGGCTAGACCCCCTGTCAAACTTGGGTATCCCTGTTGTCACCTTGTCCTTCTTGCTTCGGAAATCCATTGTCAATGGGAATGAACGAGAGGGAAAATCCCTCTAATGTTGCCAGATACCAGCAAAATCCAGGCAGGGGTTCTCATCCTTTCCAACTCTATCCAAAACAAAAAAAGAAAAGTGTCAGGTTTGACATACTTTTTTATCTGGTTTTTCTTTGGTGTCCAATGGTTATTCACTGTATTCTTTTTACACCATCCAGTTATCAAATAAATCCATCTTAATTCCTAATATCATATGACACAGCAGTCACCTAATGTGTATGGGTACTTTTCTATTTACAGTTAATTTGTAATACGTGGGTATACAAAAATAGAGTAATTTAATATTCATTGAGCAGTTATACTGTAATTTATTTGTTGTTGAACTAATTTAGTGGTCTTGGTGGCACAAGGTTTATTATGCCAATCATGGAAAAGAAGTGGTACCATTAACAGAAGGCAGTCAAAGTGAAAGGCATGTTGAGATCTCAGCATGGTAGTTACTCTCTGAATGTTAGGACGTATATTGTATTTCTAGCACACTGTAGTAAAAACATTTAAATGGAAAATCTCAGTTTGAGTACATTCGTCACACCGGGAACTATACTTGTTACTCAAATAATAGGGAACACAGTTGACAGAATGGTTTTAAATACAAATTATAGAGGTTCTGTAGTCAGATAAAGTGTGTAGAATGTTAAAATGTGTTCATTAGGGTGACCTTAGCTCTGGTTCGCAGTAGTTTTAAGATACACATTTAAAGATCTAGAAAAACTTTGCAAATGTGAATTGTTGAAACTTTAATGCCACATTTACAAAAGCCAAGGAAAGAAATATTCTCTTTTTTAAATATGTGTGCCAATTTATCTATCAGCATTTTTTTTAGTTCTGCTAAATTTTCCCAATTGATTTTGCTGTATTTCGTATGTCAGGTTCACACCGTTATTGCATGGTTTTTGCTCCTAGAAATGTTTCTAACAACTTACTTCAATGGATGCTGTCTTGATGGGTGTATTTCTAGGCAGTGTTCTGCCCTCGACTTGTCAGCTCCACCGGCCATGACCAGCTGATACATTCAACCACATCACCTCACTTCTTACCTGCTACTGTATGTAAGAATTGACCTGTTTGGCTCAGCTAACACTTTTAGGCCTGCCATCTGCAGGGCACTTAGAAGGGGCCGAAACGCCCTGCCAAGCACTGAAAAATGCTAGGAAAACCCGCAGGGGTTGATTTATTAAAACTGGAGAGTAAAATATCTGGTGCAGCTCTGCATAGAAACCAATCCGCTTCCAGATTTTTTTTTTGTCAAAGCTCAATTAAACAAGCTGAAGTTAGAAGCTGATTGGCCACCATACACAGCTGTACCAGATTTTGCACTCTCCAGTTTTAGTAATTCAGCTTCATGGTGTTAGCAAGTCCTCTCAGTAAGGTTCAGTGAGGTGTCCATTGAAAAGAGCAGACACAGCAGCAGTTTGAGTTGATGATAAAATATTGAATTGTGAAATAAAAAACTGATTTGCGAGAAATAGTTAGCTCAATTAGTTAAAATGATACTAAAGATGCAGCTTTGAAAAAAACAAAAACAAAAAAAACTAAACAAAAAACAAACATATTATACTTACCTGCCTTGTGTAATGGTTTTGCACAGAGCAGCCCTGATCCTCCTCCTCTTGTAAGACACACAGAGCACAGCTCAGCCCCGCCCCCCTCCTCACTGGATGTGATTGACAGCGGTGGAAACCAATGCCTCCTGCTGCTGTGTCTTAGCCAATGAGGAGGGAGAGACCCAAAAGAAATGCTGCTCTTGTGCACAGTGCTGGAATGCATAGAATAGATGCATAAAATGCATGAAGGTAAAAAAAAAACCTTCATCCTTTACAAGCACTTTAAGAGTTCATGGAACTAAATAATGATTTTACATCTATGCCTTTTTTTTAAACTAAACATTTTGGTGGGAACATTGTCATAGGATAAAATGCTTATAAAATAATTCATGTAGCTGTGTGGAGTGATGCTAGGTAACCAAGGGCTCAGTAATGCAAGTAGACTGTTTGATTGTTAGGGAGGATACATTGGGGCTTTATAATACAGCAGCATAATGTCACAAAAAGTCTTATGAGCACATCTCAATACCTTTATATAAAATACATTTATATTGTTTGATGTGTATGTTCTTCTATAAACACTTGTACTGTGCACAGGGATAGCAACCTCAAAACTCCAGAAATCTCAACATGCCACTACCTCAGACAGCCATGTGTTAGGCTGTCAGAGTCTTTCAATGCCTCATGGAATTTACAGTTTCAGCACAACTGAAGTACATACCTCCACACTATTTAATCAATGTAATGTAATTGCCAGTAACAGTACAATTTAAGGCACTGAAAGCCCAGCTTATGACAAGACATTTTATTTTATTTTTGAATAGAGTGTGAAATTTTTGCAGTTGAGTGCACAAGGATTAAAATGACCAACATTTCTTTTTGTGCCCACACCCCTTTCCCTTTCATTTCTTGTCCTGGTGTTAAAAGGAAAAGATGTGAGGGAATGTCTCTCCAATGGGATTACAGAAAAATAAAAACTTGATAGCTTGTGGTAGAGGTAACATTTCTATCAAAAATGTAAAAAAAATGGCTGCAGTGAGGCTTTAATCACTGTGTTAAGCAATGTTGTAAATGGTGCAAACAGACATATTCCTGATCTTTCAAGCAATGAGCACAAATTGCCACAAAAAAAAAGATAGCTCAGCACAAAACCGCTTATCCTTTTGCCAGCAGTGTGACCCCTGGCACTCTGGAAAAGCAAGTTGTGACCATTGGCTTAGGAAACATGTTTGGGATCACCAGTTATCATGCTGTGTGTGCTTCTTAACAAATGGAAGGCCAGTATATTTACTCCTTTGATGAATAATGATTACCCAACCTTAGCACACAAATGTGTGGCAGACTGATCAGCTTCCTAAAATACTTTAATGCCTATTTAAAAAAAATCGGAGTGTCAACAATTGCAATGGGGAGATTTGAGCCTGTGGCGAGATCCATTATTTTCAGTGGAAAAACTGAGAAGTGGATTATACATTTTTAAACATCTTTTATACCCTTTTACCACCATTTTACATATCACTTAATCAGGGCTTTATTAATGTCAGAAGTTAAAAGCTAAAAAGTTCAGCAGCTTGAAGTCCCAAGAGTTTTGTGGTTATTATAAACAGGTCTCTGTGTAAAGTTGTATAGTTAGAAAATCCAGCATGTTTAGACTGGTCCTTGCTCTTCACTGAATTTGCTGCCAATAGCACATAACAAGACCCTTCTATATTTTCATTACATCATTTCTAATGTTACAATATACTTTCATTGCTACTGTGTTTCAGGCTTATTAAAAAGAAACCAAACTGTGGAAGCTGTGCTCAAAAAGAGGATGGACAGAGGACTAGTCACCAGTATTGCCTGTGGTCTCTGTGCAGTTGATCTTTCCCCATTACTGTTAAATCATGACTTGCATTGCACTGTCTCTCATGGTTTTGCTTCCACTTTTCTAAGCCCCCAGTAAAGATGACAGAGAGCAGCACAATACTGATATCAAAAAGTCTCACTCCAAAAATCATGACACTAGTAAACAAAGAAGTGCCTTAAGACTCAACCTGCAGATACAGTCAGGTCCATAAATATTGGGACATCGACACAATTCTAACATTTTTGGCTCCATACACCACCACAATGGATTTGAAATGAAACAAACAACATGTGCTTTAACTGCAGACTGTCAGCTTTAATTTGAGGGTATTTACATCTAAATCAGGTGAACGGTGTAGGAATTACAACAGTTTGCATATGTGCCTCCCACTTGTTAAGGGACCAAAAGTAATGGGACAGAATAATAATCATAAATCAAACTTTCACTTTTTAATACTTGGTTGCAAATCCTTTCCAGTCAATTACAGCCTGAAGTCTGGAACGCATAGACATCACCAGACGCTGGGTTTCATCCCTGGTGATGCTCTGCCAGGCCTCTACTGCAACTGTCTTCAGTTCCTGCTTGTTCTTGGGGCATTTTCCCTTCAGTTTTGTCTTCAGCAAGTGAAATGCATGCTCAATCGGATTCAGTTCAGGTGATTGACTTGGCCATTGCATAACATTCCACTTCTTTCCCTTAAAAAACTCTTTGGTTGCTTTTGCAGTATGCTTTGGGTCATTGTCCATCTGCACTGTGAAGCGGCATCCAATGAGTTCTGAAGCATTTGGCTGAATATGAGCAGATAATATTGCCCGAAACACTTCAGAATTCATCCTGCTGCTTTTGTCAGCAGTCACATCATCAATAAATACAAGAGCACCAGTTCCATTGGCAGCCATACATGCCCACACCATGACACTACCACCACCATGCTTCACTGATGAGGTGGTATGCTTAAGATCATGAGCAGTTCCTTTCCTTCTCCATACTCTTCTCTTCCCATCACTCTGGTGCAAGTTGATCTTGGTCTCATCTGTCCATAGGATGTTGTTCCAGAACTGTGAAGGCTTTTTTGGATGTCGTTTGGCAAACTCCAATCTGACCTTCCTGTTTTTGAGCCTCACCAATGGTTTACATCTTGTGGTGAACCCTCTGTATTCACTCTGGTGAAGTCTTCTCTTGATTGTTGACTTTGATACACATACACCTACCTCCTGGAGAGTGTTCTTGATCTTGCCAACTGTTGTGAAGGGTGTTTTCTTCACCAGGGAAAGAATTCTTTGGTCATCCACCACAGTTGTTCTCCGTGGTCTTCCGGGTCTTTTGGTGTTGCTGAGCTCACCGGTGCGTTCCTTCTTTTTAAGAATGTTCCAAACAGTTGTTTTGGCCACGCCTAATGTTTTTGCTATCTCTCTGATGGGTTTGTTTTGTTTTTTTCAGCCTAATGATGGCTTGCTTCACAGATAGTGACAGCTCTTTGGATCTTATCTTGAGAGTTGACAGCAACAGATCCCAAATGCAAATAGCACACTTAAAATGAACTCTGGACCTTTTATCTGCTCATTGTAATTGGGATAATGAGGGAATAACACACACCTGGCCATGGAACAGCTGAGAAGCCAATTGTCCCATTACTTTTGGTCTCTTAAGAAGTGGGAGGCACATATGCAAACTGTTGTAATTCCTACACCGTTCACCTGATTTGGATGTAAATACCCTCAAATTAAAGCTGACAGTCTGCAGTTAAAGCACATCTTGTTTGTTTCATTTCAAATCCGTTGTGGTGGTGTATAGAGCCAAAAATGTTAGAATTGTGTCAATGTCCCAATATTTATGGACCTGACTGTATATAGCTATGGGTGTGCAGGCACAGAAATACCTAGACACCCTCACCCAAAGTTGCACTGTTCTTTTTCCTGAGGAATTCTAGACAAAAGTTATATTTTCAGTTTACTGCTTAGGCACACAAAACATTTCTAAATGTTCCCTATAACACATTAAATCTTTACTTTCTTGAGTTCAGGCTCACTTTAATACATTTTGTGGTCTTCTTTTCCTTTTTTTTCTAACCTTTAACTAATCCATCTTTAACTATTACATCTAAGATATCTTATTCTGTTTTAGAATAATAATATTTAGGTGAATTGTGTTGCTTTCATAAGACAGGTAAGAGTAACTTAAAGGTAATTTTGTTTTTGTTTTTAGTTTTAGATAGAGCAGAGAGGTATTAAAACACCTGTCAGTTTTTATTGCTGTCTGTGGCCCCATTAGGGAAATTCACTATCTCTATTTGTCTTATTTACCATTATCATTGAAAGTGAAAATAAAAGAAATTCCCAATTTTGGGTTGACTAGTTCTGGTAACTCTGGTGACAACCCAGGATTCCCTCACTATGTAGGGATTTCCTCTCACTTCCTGTGGGACTGAAAGTGAAGTGCAATCTCCCCTGTTGGACACAGATGGTAAAAAAATATCTACAAGGCATTATAATCCACCCTTGCCTCTGTTATACTTTAATAGGACGTAGGGCAAATGATAGGCTCATGCTGGTGCTACTGCTAGTTATAGGCAGAACACTACAGAAATTATTAAATTATTCAGGAATAAGTGCTCAGCATCTCTCCAAGCTATTTGACCAAATTCAGAATAGACTACATAAATGCCTAAGAGCACAAATAAATGCAAATGTTACTTACATTTATATAGGTTATGTTGTACAAATAACATTTATAATGTATGCCATTTACTGTTTATATTGGTTTTCACTTGTGTTACTTTTTCCAGGATCCCCTCTCTGGACAAAAGAGAAAATTGAACCAATTGTGATGCAACAGGGTATGCCCCTGGTTTTACCATGCAAACCCCCAAGAGGTTTACCACCCCCTGTTGTATTCTGGATGGATAACTGTAAGTCAGTGGTTTAAATCTGTATTACTGTGAACTGCTTATATTGCATAGACAAGTGCTATTTTGCTCAGTCATTTGTTATGCTTATTTATGCATCCTTTTTATCATCCATAAAATCTAAACTGGAGAATGCGTATCCTGACATTGGATTCAGCTACAGTCATGAAAGAAAAACTATCAATAATGAACATCCAAAATTACTATTCATAAAATTATATTTCATTGCACTAAATTGGCACTCAACTGATTATTAAAAGAACATGTTTTAATATAACATGTGTATTTGCTTTTACACATTAATGTTTTATTTTATTCAATAATTCAAAAGCAACTGAATACATTTGCTAGGCTGTCAAAATTAAGAATCTATATTTTGCCATTCTGAAGTTGATTTTTACCAGTAAAAAATACTAAAATGTATACTTACTTATCAGCAAAAGATACAGTTAACAGTACAAACCAGACAAAGGTGATCACCCTTCCCTATACTGTCCAACATTTTGCTAGAGATACACTTAAAGGGTTTGTTTCTATAGCTTTGTTTGAGTCACAGCTGCTTTTCTCCCTGTACATACCAATGGGAATGCAAAAGGAGAATGAAGCAGCTTGATGCAGTTTATTAGGAGGTTAACTGCAGGTTAAAAGGAGGTCAACTGCACTTGTAAAGGCATTCACATGAAACTCATCCCATTAAAACATCCTAAAATGATCTCAGATGCAGGCTAAATGCACCTAAAATTGTACTGCATTTTCTCATTCACACTAGCCCTTTATGTGTTTAGGAATGAAAAGTAAAGTAAAACACCTGCTAGGTGCATAAAATGTTAACATGATGAAATGAGAAGTGTGAAGGTAAAGGGCTGACTTGTGTAGAAAATGGGAATTTTGCAGATTGGTGGAAATGTCAGATTAAAGTAACTTTGAGAGGAGCATCAGAAACTTGACTAATCGGGGTTTATTTACTAAAGCTGGAGAGTCCAAAATCAGACTCCCTTCTGCATAGAAACCAATCAGCTTCTAACCTCAGCTTGTTCAATGAAGCTTTGGCAATGAAACCTGGAAGCTGATTGGTTTCTATGCAGAAGGGAGTCTGATTTTGGGCTCTCTAGCTTTAGTAAATAAACCCCATCATGTCCTATATGAGAGGAGCAGAGGGAGACATGTCTGATGAAAGCCAAGAGGTGATGAGCGGGTGAGAAGAGCAGAATTGGCATGTGGAAAGTGCCTTAGAACAGATGGGACCATAAAAGGTCAGTCCAGTGACAATTGTAGTCGGGGCCAAAGGAGAAAACATTAAAGTGGGGGGAAATGGAATAGAGTGAGGAGCTGGATAATAGACACAATAGTTATTAGCAAGGATAAGGCACGGACAACCTGAATGTGACCCCAGTATGGACAGAAAACATAAGAAGTAGAATGATAACTGATGTGGATCAGACATTATTCTGATTGGGCACTAGAACACAGTGGGGTTGATTTATTAAAACTGGGGAATGCAACATCTGGTGCAGCTCTGCATAGAAACCAATCAGCTTCCAGGTTTTTTCTTGTCAAAGCTTAACTGAACAAGCTGAAGTTAGAAGCTGATTGGCTACCATGCACAGCTGCACCAGATTTTGCACTCTCCAGTTTTAGTAAATCAACACCAGTGATTGGTCTGATTTTCATGTCTGTTTTGTCTGTGGTGAAGTTGTAAGTAAAGGTTTTATTTCATGTCAGTCCACTAAACCTCTCAAGCAAAATACTGAGCTAATTTGGATAGACTTGATGGTCCTAGATTTCACAGATGTGTAAAAACCAGCAATACATATTTCAGGTGTCTCATAAAATGTGAATACTGCTCTTTACTTGCCACTTTACTGTGCATGATGGTAGTAGAAAGGAGTATTCATATGACTTTAACATTATTATTATTATTTTCCCAGTTTTCCAGCGACTACCTCAGAATGGAAGGGTTTCACAAGGTCTGAATGGTGATCTTTATTTTTCCAATGTTCAGCCAGAGGATTCACGGGATTTTTACATCTGCTATGCAAGATTTAACCTAACTCAGACTATCCACCAGAAGCAACCTATTTCTTTAAAGGTTTTGGCAAGTAAGTTGGAATGCTTTATTTGTTTAGAAATTCATCCGTTTTTTGAATAAGGTATGACTGAATTGCATAATTTAAACTAGTCTATATTTAGGAATGCGCAATAGCTAGTTGTAAGCATCACTGCAGTGTAATGAGAATTTACTGGTAAACTGTTACCCTTTTAGGGGAATAAAAATGAACACTAAAGAAAGTATCTTCTTTTAGTTTAAAGTCTGCCTTAAAGAGAAATACCTGCAGCAGACTCCAAAACCTTGTTGTTATGGTCGTATGCCAGGTCATTCTGACAAAGTGATGGACCTTCCTGATACTCAGAAGCTAAATTCTGCTACATATTATTACAAGTTTTTGCTGATTAGGATGCACGCAACAAAGATATATTTTTCACAATAGAATGATTTGATTTCTGTTACTGACATTTAAGAAAACTGTAAACTAAAAATCTATGAAACAGTTTGGCTTTGCTTTTTCATTAAAGGTCATCTCGAGATTTTAAAGGTAGTATAAATCTCTATGGAATGAGCACTTAAAAAGAAAAAGTATTTTATCAGTGTGCTTCACAGCTGTAAATCTGGAGGGCATTAAACCAGTTGTAGCATTGCCAGTATCCTGGCAGTTCTACAGAACAGACACTTCACTGGACTGAAAACAATATGCTACTGACATTTTAAGTACAGTTTGATTTGTTTCCTTTATGAGCTTATTAATATTTCTGATAGTGTTGGAATCTTTATTGTGCATATAAATCCACAGGCCCACACATGGATGTATGTGATTAGAGCTGCACATATTCACTCTATATTACAAAATTTACATTTTATATACATTTTTTAGCTGACGTATGAAACAAACAAAGCAATAGAAATTTCTGTTTTTACTTTTTTCACCATTGCTGCCTGATTTTTTATTTTATTTCTTTTTTTTTATATTACTGTGTTAATATGTATGCAACCATCTTCCATTATGGAATATTTATGATGTTCTATTTCTTTTAGCGGATTCTATGAATGAAACTATAGCTGCTAATTTAACTGACACTGATTTTTATGGTGGTGAGTTGTGATAAAAAGAAAAATAGCATCTAATATCATAATAGAATTAGTCAAAATAATCCATATTTAATCCATCTAACATAATTACTTCACTTTTTCTTCCTCCCTGTCTTTGTCATATTACAACCTTTATTAAGCCTTACTTTTACTAGAACACCAACATTGGGTTAAATGGAACTAATATTTCTTTATATGTTGATATAGAGATCTTTTTGCAGATGTGGAAGGGGAGGAAAATAAAATAAATATTCTGAACAAAAGTTTGATAAAAGTAAAATGGACTCCTGTGAGGGATATACATTTACACCAGAGAGAAACACATTTCTTCTGTCTTCATTCTAAAGGGAATATCAGATGACATACCCTTGGACCTTTTTTTTGCTCTTATGCACAAGAAATAAATCTGTAATGATGACTTAAAATGATTCACGCTGAAGAACAGAGGAGAGTGATTCTAGGCTAATGATAGCAATGATAATAGTGTAGATGCATAGCAGAATCTCTGTGCCATGTTTTACCTTTCATGCTCTCAGACACCTCTCAGACACCTCCCTGCTGTGCCACTGCTACTTTCCAAAAGATCAGATACAAATGCCAACTTTCTGGATAGACGTTACTTTTGCAAGCATGCTCAAGCCTGAAGCACTATGAGAGGAGGGGGAGCAAGCATTTTAGCATGTAATTTAAAGTTTTCTTTTTTTAGGGATCTGCTACAGCATGGTGGAGGGGCAGCAAGAAATGATAAAGGAATTATGCGGCATCAGTGGAAGGCTGCTATGCATCTGCATTGTTGCTTTGATTTGTGTATGCTAAGATCACAACGTACAGTAATATAGTCTAGCCTGAATACAATAAATCTATATGTGTTTGTGTTGTGTGTGTATATATATATATATATATAGTATCTCCCAGAAGTGAGTACACCCCTCACATTTTTGTAAATATTGTATTATATCGTTTCATGTGACAACACTGAAGAAATGACACTTTGCTACAATGTAAAGTAGTGAGTGTACAGCTTGTATAACAGTGTAAACTTTCTGTCCCCTCAAAATAACTCAACACACAGCCATTAATGTCTAAACCGCTGGCAAGAAAAGTGAGTACACCCCTAAGTGAAAATGTCCAAATTGGGCCCAAAGTGTCAATATATTTTGTGGCCACCATTATTTTCCAGAGAGGGTTACTCTTGTGCATGGAGTTCACCAGAGCTTCACAGGTTGGCACTGGAGTCCTCCTCCATGACAACATCACGGATCTGGTGGATGTTAGAGACCTTGCGCTCCTCCACTTTCCGTTTGAGGATGCCCCACAGATGCTCAATAGGGTTTAGGTCTGGAGACATGCTTGGCCAGTACATCACCTTTACCCTCAGCTTCTTTAGTAAGGCAGTGGTCATCTTGGAGGTGTGTTTGTGGTTGTTATTATGTTGGAATACTGCCCTGCGGCCCAGTCTCCAAAGGGAGGGGATCATGCGTTGCTTCAGTATGTCACAGTACATGTTGGCATTCATGATTCCCTCAATGAACTGTAGCTCCCCAGTGCCGACAGCACTCATGCAGCCCCAGACCATGACACTTCCACCACCATGCTTGACTGTACGAGAGTAGAAGGTCTAGCGAGGAGCGGAGAGTACAGTTTGGGTGATATTTAGAGACAAGATCGGTGATGTAGTTTGGGGCAGAGTTATAAATGGCTTTATATGTTATTGTTAGTGTTTTGAATTTTATCTGTTGTGCAATGGGAAGCCAGTGGAGGGATTGGCAGAGAGGGGTGGCAGAGAGGGGTGGCAGATACAGAATGGTTAGTAAAGTGGATGAGTCTGGCAGCAGCATTCATGATAGACTGAAGAGGGGATAGCCTATGATGAGGTAGGCCAATGAGGAGGGAGTTACAATAGTGAAGGCGAGATATAACAAGGGAATGAATAAGTTGCTTAGTGGTTTCCGAGGTTAGGAACGGCGTATCTTGGAGATGTTGCAGAGGAGAAGTCTACAAGATTTGGACAGCGATTGGATTTGGGGCTGAAAGGACAGATGGGAGTCTAGGATTACACCTAGTACCCTGGCATGAGGGGAGGGACTGATGATTGTGTTATTGATCTTGATGGAGAAGTCAGGGGAGGGGACACAGGCTGAGGGGAATACTAAGAGCTCAGTTTTGGAAAGATTGAGTTTGAGGAAGTGGAGTGACATCCATGCCGATATGTCACTTAGTAGGTAGAAGAATACATTTTGGCCAAAGTTTATGAAGAAAGATTATTTATTTGCAAAATTTTTATTAGAACAACAATTTTTTTCAAAATGTTCAGTCTTTTTTCATTTATATAGCAAAAAAATAAAAATCCCAGTGGTGAATAAATACCACCAAAAGAAAGTTCTATCTGCTAAAAATTTCATGTGGGTACATTGTTGCATGACTGTGAATTTGTCATTCAAAGTGTGACAGCGCTGAAAGGTTAAAATTGGCATGGCCTGGAAGGGGGTGAAAGTGTCCGGACTTGAAGTGGTTAATGAAGCTTGGCAGATGCCCTGTGTGCTGATTGATTTTTTATTTGTTTTAAAGGAGCCAAGTAGATCCCTAGCTACTGTTCAGAATTGGTACCTTTCGTTCAGCAGATCCCTTGCTTATTAGTGCCTTTGCTCAGCCAATCCCCTGCTCAGTAGTACCCCCCAGCTCTGTTGATGCCCCACTCAGTAGAACCCCCAGCTCTGCTGATCCCCCACTCAGTAGTAACCAGCAGCTCTGCTGATCCTCTGGTTTGCTGATCCTTCTCGCTCTCCAGTCCCCGCTCACCTCCTGCTATATTGCTCCCATGCTGGGCACCATATATGACATTTCTAGTATTTTCCTGCTCTGGTCTGCCAGCTCAGCTGATCCTCTACTGCTCAGTCCTCTCTCTCAGATCCCCGCTCACCTTCTGCTATAGCATTCCCATGTTGCACGCCATGTGTGCCACCTGCTAGTTGCTCCACTATAGACCTGACCCCTCTCACCTGTCTGCTGCTCCTCACCTATTTAGTGACAGGGGCTTTGATTGGCATTCAGAGTGCTTTAAAAAAGGGTTTCCAATGCCACATTTTGAAGCAAGTGTAAATGATCCCTTGCAGAGCAGTTCCAGGCAATAGGTAAATCCAGTCTGTGAACTGTGAAAGATAAGCAGAAAACACAGAAATTTTGCTTCGAAGAGAAAGAGGTACAGAGAGAAATATTTATGCTGTCATTGCTGATGTTTGCTTCTTAAAATGATGATTGCCTGTTTGCTATTATGATCCATTGGTTTCAGTGCTTTCTGTGTCACTGACTCAATTCAAGTACTTAGGAGTTTTGACTCCACTTTGACTTTAGTGTCTGCATGCTTGCTCCTAGTATTAAATAAAGTAAGGCAACTAGTTTTGAAGGAGGTTAGCAATGACATCCCCCTCACAGAAACTATTTTCCTAATTTAAGTTCTTGGTAATCCATTGCTGAGAGGAACTTTATAAGACTTTCATACATTACATTGGGCTTTCTGTTTATGAAAGATGACAGGAAGCCTAGATTTGCTTTGGTTAGGAATACTAACTGCTAATGAAACACATAGAAAAAAGGGGTTCCTTCACCAGAATACTGATAAATAGATGTGGGTTGGACTGGTGTACAGTTGTGCTTAGATTAAAAAATGAATTTCTCTCTTGAGTTTATCATCAATTTTGACTAAAGTGTTAAGACCTTTTTCTACTTTTAGTAAAAACTGGGAACCATCAAGCTCTTTCTAGCAGGGCCCTCCTTACCCTTCTCTATTGAGTTGAATTGTAATTGTACTGTATCTCTTTTTGGGTAAATTACTGCACATACTTTTGGTGCTATCTAAAGCATTTATTAAAATAATCTTCGAATATACAGTACTTACAATTAGAGCTTCATCCAGCAGCCCTGGTGTCAAAATTATAAAATTCTTTTTTAGCTGGAAATAAACACAAAACAATTCTGTCTATCCAGAAAAAAATCAGTTCAGTTTAGGTGCAAGTTATACTTGTACTGTCTGTTGAGCTATAGAGTACAGTACTGTATGTCCGGCTCTAGGAAGGGCTTGATTTTGTTAAAACATTTATATTTCATAGTAAGGCCTTGATTTCCTATTTGAGATTTCATACATTTTTGGGGATCCTGAACTAAACAATGCCTAAAATATCATAATCAAGTGAATGTCCTAATGAATAATCTAGAAGGTTCTGGATGCTGGATATACCCCTCCAGTCTGTACTAGCATGGAGCTTAATATGAATTTGAACAGAAAGTCTGACAACTCTAAACAAAAGGTCAGTACAACATTATGAAGTATCAGTAACTGGACAATGGGCATTATATGGATTTAAAGTTGAACATACACTGTACTGTATTCTGTACTGCAAAACATGTTTTCCAGTTAAAAGAAGTATGGCCAAAGCTTTTTTGATCATACTTCTCTTCTGGGTTACAGGAGTACACTTACTTGAGCTCTCCTGTTTCCCAGAATCAACCAACAGTGAGCTAAATGTCACAGAGTTGCTCCAAACTCTGGAAGGATCCCAACAATAATGTCAGGATCCACCCAGATGCCTGATCGGCAGCTGGCTTAACTCCTCAGTGTGCCACTGAGAGGCTGTGCCAGCTGTTTCCGCCCCTTCCACAGCCCAGTGCTATAGTAAGCTGCAGAGAGCAGCATCTAATAGTCACCGCTCTCTGCTCAGAGCAGACTGAGAATTGAGTGTTCAGCAGTCACGTGATTGCTCAATTCGTAGACTTAGAACTGGCGGGGGACAGCTGCAGCATGGAGGCGAGTATGCATGCTTTATTTTTTGGTATTCCCACACTTCTGCTTTAATGGATTATGTTCAGTATGGAAAATGTTAGACATTGCATTTAAGCTTGTATAAAACTTTATTTTTAGGCATTTTTGTTTTATTAAAAAGCGATATTATTTTTGAAGGCTTGGTTGAGGAGTTTCTGGGAATTTGAGGCTGAATACTTGAATTCCACAAGGGTCTTATTTCTGTTTTCTAAGCTACATATAGTGTCCCAATGTTCGCATAATCAAGTAAAAAATGTATTTTATATTCCCTCTTCTAACTATTGCATAGAAAGCTCCATAAATAAGACATGAGGCTCCACAGGGTGGCTTACGCTAATTATTCTGTGAATCACACATGTGATAGTTCATTAAAAAGACAGCTAATCCAGGTCTGTCACTTGTACTTCTTAATTTTCTCTAGGATGTTTTTCAGTCTTTTTAGAGATATGATATTCTACTATATTAAAACCACTGAAAAAAACGAAACAAGAAATATATCCTTCATAAATGCAGGCTAGTCAACGATATTCCAATTTCTTTATCTTTGTTTCCCATTTTCCTGTAAGTAGAGTTCTTTTTAACATTTATTAAATAGGTACAGTACATCTCTGCATGCAATCTTTAACTACTATTCACTCTTGCCCTATCTAATCACATCCATGCATAATTATTTGTCAGTTCATACTATTCAATATTTTGTTATTAGTATTTTTTGTAACACTTTCTTTTTGTCTTTATCCACTAGACAGCCCTGCAGATAACAGAAGTCCATCACTTTTGGTTCCTTCTGGCCAAACAAGTAACAGAACTGTGCTCAGGGGAGAAGTGCTGCTGCTGGAATGTATTTCTGAAGGACTGTAAGTTGCCTGCAAGTTGTACAAAATATGCTATACTATGACTAAGAAAGTTACGAGGAACAAATATTGAACACAATTTTATCATATTTTCGTCTGAAAAGAATTTTCATGATTTGGATGCACATTTCCAGATAATCCAGATCCCTCTGTGTTCTTACATATGGACCTTATGTATGGAAAGTGTGCTAAAAATTACCTTTCTTGTTGGCAATAGCAACCAAACAACTCCCAAATGTCAGTTGTATAAAGCAGATTTAAAATAAATTAGGGACTAAGTTTAGGTAAACTCAGTGGTGTATTTAGGTTTTGTGCTGCCCTAGGCAAAACAAAAATAGGACACCCCCATGCCTGACATTTTGACAACAACACCCCACTCACTCACCTTTACAGCTCTGGACATTCCTGGGAACGAAAATCGGGCTCTGCATACACCATCAAGCCTTTCTCGGCTCCCACTTGGTCCCATGCCGCAAGTGTCCTTTCTTCCAGAGGGCACTGCTGCCCTGAAGAATGCAGTCCTAGGCAACTGCCTTGTTTGTCTTGTGGTAAATACGCCCCTGGGTAAACTATGCCCACCCTTTCCACCCCTTCTTCCATCTATAGAAGATGTATTCCATCAATGAAAAGCTACAGTATCTATAAATAGATGGTTGATGGTGAGATGAATGAAAGGTCCTCCTCCTACATTATTAATGCATTCTTCATTGATGGAAGCTATAGTACAAATCTGTGAATGGAGGACGGGGGTGGAAAGGGTATATATATATATAATCGCCACTCTTGATGAGTGCCTGTGACAGGACTTTTGGCTCTATTAACCCCAGCAGTACCAGAAGATTGTCTGTAAACAAACCCCCCCCCCTTTAATTATAAGATGCCACAGTAAGAACGCTTCTACCACTTATATATGTTTTATATTGTTTTAATGAAAGGTCATAACTTGAATCAAGCTTTGCTTTCGTGATGCGCAGTAATGTGAGGAACTACAGGCTTGCTCTGATGGTGTGAATGGAGCCTAAGATCAGGGTATGTAATTACAGAGGTCACATGCAACGCAACCTGTTGGTAAAACATTTGAGCTTCTGCTCTGTTCATGGAGCATTCTCCAAGTAGTGTAAACATAGTTACAAGGGTCCAGCTGTTATTTAGTAGAGGCTACTGAGGGCACACATCTTCTGATTTTTACACTGAAAAATGGTTAAAACCATTACACCAGAATAAATGCCCCTTTATCTTCTTTATACATTTTTCTAAAAATATGACCGTTTTGAATAACGTTCTAGTAACTGTAGATACTATTACAGGCACCATGTGTTGATTTACCTGGTATGCTGTATATTGATTGGTACTTGCAGGATCTTTTTATTTGATATGTTTATAAATAAAACAATAGCAGTTTTAAGATGTGTCTTTTCCAGGCCGGCTTAGCTTCCTGCTCTGATCTTCTTTATTGTCATGGAAACTGCAGCCTCATCTGACAGGCGCCTGCTTTGAAATATCAGGCTCTTCTCGGGGAGATTTAGAGATGTTGGTACCAGTTGTAAAGCAGTGTTTTTCGACATGTAGGCCTCATACCTGACCTGCCAAAACAGAGCCATTGTCTTTGAATAAAACAAATTATGTTGGAAAGTATCTCCGGCTCTGACTGTAGAAATCCCATCAGGAGCTACTTCCAGGAACTATGTGTACTAATGATAAGGATGACTGAGGATTCTCCTGTAATTGCCCTGCTGGGGTTTCACTGAGAACTTTAGAACTATCAGTGGAACACACTAAAGTACAAAGCTTAGATATTATGAGTATAAATGGCAATGAGTGAAACAACAGGTTAACTCTGTCATTTTAAAATATAATGCAATATGATCACCTGAATTCATTTCAATCCTACAGACAGTAGTTTGTGAGTGTCAAGATCTAGTACTGATGCAGTTCCATCTTTAACTGTGTTGCTATGGGGTAATAAGACTCGTACCCACAGTAAATGCACACTGTATGCCAGTACTTGCAACATGTTAGTGGTCTATTAAGACAGCTTAAACACTTTGAGGTTTGAATTTGACCACTGTTTTTGTCTATACTGTATGTTAAAGGATAAGTTCACCTTTGGGAACATGTTACATGTTCAACTCGTTTTTTGGGTGAAACATGTAACATGCTCCCACTGCTGGAGCTGCTGCCAGGTCCGCTGCTTCTAGTGACAGCTAAGGGGGATCTTCTCTCCCTTGCTGGCTGTCACTATTTTAAAAAATAGTGAAAGGCTGCGTCATTCATTCACAGAATTCTGCGAATTGAAAACTACAAGCACAAGTTCTGAATGAACTACCAAGGCGCTGTTGAGCACTGCGGTAGTTCATTGTCTCTTCCTGTCAGTGTGTATTTGCGTGCCCATATGACGTACAAGCTCACAGATACTCTGACAAGTCTGCAGGAGTCCTGCATGGCACCCTCAATCTGCTGTTTGTGGTTGCAGTGCTTTCTAGGCTCTAAGTTAAATAAAGTAATAAATGCTATTTTTTTTTACCTGCAAAAAGATGTGCATTCATTTGTTTTTTTTTAAAGGTGAACTTATCCTTTAACCTGTTGCCATTTGTCTTAGGCTGATACTCAATTCCAGCAGCCTCTTCATATATCATCATGCAGCTGTATAAGCCAATGGGGTGAATTTACTAAAAAGCAAATTGACTCTGCACTTTGTAGATGCATTTGCACTCATTTATCCCAAATATTAGTAAATTTCCATCATCCAAAAATAATGTGCAAGAAAAAAATGCTTTTTTTAACATTTTCCTTGCACCTGATTGGGTATTCTTTACAAAGTGAAGATTTACTAAGGAAAATAAGTGCAACTGCACATGGAAAGTGCACAGTCTTTATGCCTTTAGTAAATCAATGTCAATGTTTAACATACAGTATACTGCTTTAATCCCATTATTTCCCTATATTATCATGTGTTTCCAATTATAAGAATAGTGATTCAAGTCATCATATAGGAAAGAACTCTGTGCAGAATTCCTATTGACTTTAACCCTTTCTTTATCACTGTCATAAGCCATACCTATACGTTACGATAAAGTGTATGGTTGTATCATACATATACGCACTGCACTGTAGATCAGGTAATACCACAATGTACAGGTGTAAAGCCAACCTTCAGATTTTTATCATAAGTTTATGGCTTAATGTTGATTTTCACTGTTTCACAGTAAGGCACAATTTAAAATTTGCAAATATTTTTTATTTATTTACTCAGTACAGTTTTAAAGTGGTTCTAAAGGCTGAAGGCTTTTTACCTTCATGAATTTTATGCATGAAGGTAAGAACCTTTAGTGTGCAGCTAATACCCCGACCCCCTTTCCCCAACTCCCCCTAGTACTTACCTGAGCCCGATCATGATCCAGCGCTGTGCATGGGAGCCTCAGCTCTCCCGGGTCTCTTTCTCCTCATTGGTTGAGACACAGTAGTGGGATTCATTGACTCTTGCTGCTGTCAAAGACAGCTAGTGAGGAGGGAGTGGGGGCAAGGCCAAACCACACTTTTTGTGTCTGTCTTATGGTTACACAGAGGTGGCTCAGAAGCGAGCACGCATGAGTGCCTACAGGGTAAACAGTTTGTTACGGAGGGACTCAGCCAGGGGGAGGTGCTAAAAGCTTCAGTGAGGGAACAGAGAAGAGGAGAATCCTTCAAAACCATTGAAGAGAGCAGGTAAGTATGACATCTTTGTTATTTATATTTTAAAAAAAATGTACCTTTACAATCACTTTAACTTTTGTACTTAATGTGAATTTTTGTAATTTATGATGACAATGATTAAAGTGTGTTTTTTTATAAACAATGTCATTTAGATAAACATTTTTGCAGGAGATACAAAATCTCTTAATTTCTCCAGTCTTGTGCTTTGATAATATTCTTTTACAAAGTATGAAAGCTGCAAGGGAAAAATTTAAAAAGATGAAAATTCTCAAAAATGGTCTGGCCTCCTAAGGTTAAAAAGGTTAAAAGTACTGACATTGAAAGGGTTAGGTACAAGCAGTGTCTGTGGTTTGCAACAGCTTTTTTCTTAGTTTCACAGAGAAGTATCAGCTCATGTCAATAATCCAGCAAGTCCTCTCTGGTTTCTGCAGTTACATTGGACAGACAAATCACTTTCTGGTCCATCTTAGTTGCAGTTAATATGATTTCAGTTTTGTATTCATCTTGTGCTGTATCAAAGATAACGAACAGCTACACCCTGTATGATAATTTTACCAAAAGCTTTGTTCAAAGAATAAATATTGCATAAACAATGGTAACAATTTTTAACCATTAAATTGCAGGCATATCATACAATCTCCACTGTCACCACTTGCTGCTAACTAGCTGGTTAGCATGTCTTGGATATATACTAAAGCAGTACTCTGTAGTTACAATGAATAGTTCCCAACATGTCTTAAACAATCCACTGTTCTTCTTCAGGGCTCTCATGCTCTGATCTGTGGGTCCAGGAAAATATTTATAACATGTTTTGAATGTGTATCATACCTGTATATGGACTCTGAGATGATGAGGGTGGCCTCTTCCACAGTTTGAGCACCCCTGGAGATGAAGACAGGATCTGCAAGGTTGATGGAAAGGCACAAGTGCCTAGGTGCCTATATTGTTGAACCTGAAAGCATTGGTATCTGGTCAGCTGGAGTACAGCTGGTGATACACTGACTATGTGTGAAGTTCAGTTAAAGGCGAAGTCAGGTCCCAAGCATGGTCTAGTAGCAGCCAAGTGGGAAGGCACCAAGTTGTAGGCAGGGCCAGATTCGGAGACAAGCAAAGGTTGTCAACAAGGGGGCAGTGAGGTACGAATTCCCTAGGCAGAAGAGTAGTAGGTAATCTAGGCCAAGGTTGGTAGCGAAGATAGACAGCAAACAGAGCAGATGGGTTATCCAAAAGCAAGGTTAAGTGGAAGCTGAGTCAATCACCGTCAGAATGAGTATCATGAACAATAACACAGGAGCAAAACTTAAGACCATTCAGCAAAGAATTTGTGCAGGGTTCAGGTATAAATAGTCTGATTAGTGGCAGTCCACACATGCATGTGTACATACATGCTGAGCAATGTTGCATGTGCACTTGGACTTCTATCCCTGCAAAAATGCGCGTGCTTATGCGTTCACACATTACTGTGATGGCTGGTACAATTATCCTGTCCTGACAGAATGACACGATCCATAAAATAATTTATTCTTTCTTAATAGCACAGGATTTAAATTTATGTTCATAAAGCATGTACAAAATGATATGCATTGTGGGAAACAGGTGTTTAAGAAACTGCAGGAAAAAGGCATCCCTGGCATCACTTTTGCTATATTTTTACAGTTAGCTAGGGTGTTTCATAGTTTCAAGTAAACTAAATTGGTTGATCCCAGTAATTCTCTTAATGTAAACCCTCACCTTTGTAAAACAACCTGTTCTGTTTAAACTAGAAATGAAAGGGAAAGCATTTGTGTATAGATTAAAAAATATTTATAGATACCATTTTTTCTCTTTTCTATAAGTAATCAAATTCCCTCTGTTCTCTGGGGGACGAAAAACAGCAGTACACTGATCTTCCCAGTGATAGTCTGTGCAAGGGGGGGGGGGGGGGGGGTTCAGGACAAGTCTGATCATTGGAGGAGAGCACACTGTGTTCCCAGCATAGCTAGAGAACTAACCATACTGTGCTTTCATTCCTAGTGTGGTCAGTATTAATAGGAAAGCAGAGGGGCTGGCAGGAATACCAGGGATTTCACACAAAGGAAGCAATACAAAGAGAACAGGATACTTTTTCATACAGGTAAATTGTACAGCAGGTACATATCAGGAATATGAAATGTTGGGGTTACATATTAAAAAAATACTGAAGGATAAATGAAACATGTGGATGATTTTCACAAACATGCTTGCTTGTCTAAATGAGCTTACATGTTTAAAATGTGCACTTTATGCAGCCAAATTAATATTTTCTTCTGAGCTGTCAATGTCAGGAGGTCAGGAGGAAATACCTCCTTAGTAATGCACTCAATATCATAGTTTCCGGCACTCCTTCGTTTTTCTGCTGGTGGTTTCAAATGATATGTCACTCAATGTAAATTGTCTAGCACATGGGAATAATGTATTACACTTCTCTAAATTATTAATTTGTTATCTATCATAGGAAAGTTCTCCTTTTCATGATGTTGGTGATGGTTGGACAATGGAAGGGAGATGATAACTGTCTGCTAATTACACAAAAATAAAGCTTTTATTTGTAGGGAATCAAAGTAACAGAAAATGAGGCTGATTTATAAAGCTGAGAATTTTAACTTTATATGTATGAAGCTCTACCCCCTTAGGAGTCGCTGAGTTTTGGGTCCCCCTAAAGCTGCACTGCATGCATTTTTCACTTGCATCCAGAAACAAGAAACAGTCCATGAGCATGGGGTTTTTTTTGTTTTTTTAAAGTGTTTAACTTGGAAATGGTAAAGGGGTTATGGGATGCCCCAATTTGATTGCAGAATAGTTTGAGAACAACTTCCTTCTCTAGAAAATGCTACAAAATGACTGTGGTCCAGCTGTAACCCTGACAGTCTCTTTAACAAAGTACAGCAATTTGCAGGAGCTCTGGGTCCCCTTGAATGGATTTCTAGCAACATGAAAATGTGTAGGAGCTCTTGGACCCCTTGGTGCATAGTATACTAGCCCACTTGGCTGTGGTAACTGATCCCAGGACAAGGGATTGAGTAAGCCAGCCTTCTTCAACCAGGGTGCCTTGGGATGCCTTGAGGTTTCTTCAGGGGTGCCTTGGCAATATGTCTAAAAATTGCCCAAGACTTGTATACAAGCCAGTGTGTAGAATAAGCCTGCCTTTTAGTTACACAAAACCACAGGATTTCATTGTGCACCATTATGACCTTCTAGCCACCCTTACAACCATTGGCATGACCAGTTGATAAGGAGAATGTCGGCTGCCTGCACAGCATTCTTACTTGACCCTTCCCTGCTCCTCTCCATCAGTGCTGGGGTTACATTAGTTCAGTGATGGAGAAAAACTGAGGGAGAAGAGAAACATTGGAATACTAGTCAGTACCAGTGTGCAAAAGTGTATTTGCTTTAGAATAATAAATCACCTCTAGTGTTGGGTGTCATAAGTGTGTGGATGTTGCTGTGCTATATAAAACTATTAGAATAGGTTTTTATATTTTATAATGGGGTGCCTCAAGACTGTTCATAATTTTAAAGGGTGCCTTGAAAGAAAAAAGGTTGAGAAACACTGGAGTAGGCTATGAACTGTTCCCTGAAGATTTCCAGGAACTTGCATCCAGCAGACCTCTCCATTCTAGGCCCTGGGGGTGTAGAGGTACTCACACTGTCATTGTCCTGCAGCTGTGGATAGAACTGCTTTCAGACCTTCTACCAGGGCTGGTTCCTCTCCATGCTTTGCAGGCTATCTTTCCCGAGTGGATGGCAGGGCAGTGGAGCTCCCTCTTTCAGCTTCTCCCCAGCTTCCAGCCTCCAGCCTGGAAGCAAAACCCCCCTCCTCTGGAGATCCCTCCCAGGCTTCACAGCAGCATCTCTCAGTACTCCATCTTCCACCCAAATCCCCTAATAGCATGACTCTTTCATATTTATGAGCTGGCCTGCCAAACTACCAGAGCCTCCCCTCTGGGATTGGTCACACTCCCATGAATATTCAGATTGCGTATATTGTGAATATGTAGTTTCCACCCTTCTGCTTACTGGCTTCTGGAAGTTTCCATGGACCTCCAGAACCTGGTGGAGGTGACAGACCTCACAATAAATTTACTTTACGCTAGCACCATCTAGTGGGTGCTACAAATATCTGTATTAACTTTGAATGCCCAGTCATGTGTAGATAAAGTACAAAACAAGATTTTTTCCTTTAACATGATTTAATAGTTGAAATTAATCTTCTGAATGAAGATTCTTAACTCCTTTAGTAAGTCAGCCTCATAGTACAGGATATATGTATGATTTTTGTTTTGTAAAATTGGTACATTGGAGATGGATATGCTGTACAAAATGTGATAGGTTGGGGGCTGTATCTTACATTACCCGATGTCCTACAACAAAATGTAAAACTTCCACATTCAAGAAATATGTTGTACACATATGCACAAATAAATACTACTGCACAGAAGCGTTGGCATTTACAGGACTATGGTCACATACAGCCATTCACTTGTATGGCAGGCAGCTCCCCAAGTGTTAGAAAATGCCTAGAATTTTCTGCCCAGCATATTTTCAGCCTCTCACTGTCTGTGCATGAGGCAGTCAGGTTATTCCTGGAGCAAATTGTGTTTCTCCTGCCCACTGTGCACATATTTCTTTTATAGCACTTCAGCGTTTGTGTTGCCTTTTTCAGACCTACACCAGAAATTCGTTGGAATAAAGAAGGAGCCGAATTGCCCAGCGACAGAGTGTTCTACGAAAACTTTAATAAAACTTTGAAGATAGTAGATGTGTCAGAAGCTGATGCTGGAAAGTACAGATGTACGGCTCACAATATTAGGGGCTCAGGTCACCATATCATAACAGTAATTGTCAAAGGTAAGTGATAACAAAACAACTATTCATAATACAGCCACCTGTGAATCACTAGTCTTACATAGTTAACAATCATGTAGATTTATTACCTATACCCCAGCACAACCCAATATTGCTTTAGATGTATGTCCTCTGGTTGCTCTAGATCCGATTGTATCAAGCCTAATTAACAACAAAAAAGTAACTTGGTGCAATTAATGGGTAAAAATATTTCCACGCTATTAATCAAACAAATGTGAATCTGTAAGTTGGACAAAGTGCAAAAAAGAGAATACAATGTATATTATTATATAAAGTAATGATGATTCCCCACATAAGGTGCAAATCTCAAAACAGTATAACAAAAAGCAAATAGTAAAGAGAAAAGTGTACTTTGTGAGAAACAATGTTGTTGTGATTGTTTTGAGAAACCATATAACCATAATGCAGCAGTAAATGTAAGCAATGACAGCAAAGACCGTAGGGTACTTAGCTGTAGAAATCAGAGAGCAATAGTGCTGGGGGATGTCTACAGAGAGGGCAAGGGGTGTGCAGACTGTGCTGGGGTTATCATGGTTTAATTTGAGTGAATAACTCAAAAAACAAATGGCAGGAGTTTTTGTTTTCAGCCATTCCATGCTTTATTTTCTCCTTATTCATAAAACTGTAACAGTTCCGGAGAACATTTGTAAATCGCACATGCTCCCCAACCAGCAGTCAAAATGTGCTGCTCTTTAAGAGATGCATGTTTTTTGGCCTTATTTCTTAATGACACCCCCACGCATAAGAAAATGTAACGTGTTTTCAGATGCGTAAAACCTGCTTTGTGCCGCTGCGCTTTTTAAAAGGGATTGTTACTTCTGGGCAATTGCCATCTGTAATGTTAAACTTCCAGACTATGAACATATTATAACAGAGAATCATTCATTTTTTTTAAGAAATTGGTCAGGGTTTTGTTAAATTTCAAATGGCTTTCTTTACACTTGCATTTTTTTTGTAATCTTTTACTTGTGCATGGTAAATGGCAAATTACCTGTCCCTTTTATGGGGGTCTGGTAAATATCACATCCCCCTACATCCCTACCCCACTGACTGGGACACCAATGATATTGTAGTCTGGTGCTAATAATGGGTTGAGGAGGTCCTATTTTAGGGCCATGTTTTTAACCACTTCCTGTCCGGACACTTTTTCCCCCTCCCTGTCCAGGGCAATTTTCTGCTTTCAGTGCTATCACACTTTGAATGACAATTGCGCGGTCATGCAACACTGTACCCATATGAATTTTTTACCATTTTTTTGAGACAGATAAAACTTTATTTTGGTGGTATTTATTCACCGCTGGGATTTTATTTTTTTTGCTATGTAAATGAAAACGTCCAAACATTTTGAAAAAAAAAGCCAAATTAGTTTATAACCAAAAAGTATAATTTTTAAACTTTTTTTAACATTTTTTTTCTTCTTTTTTTTACATACATGGTGACACACTACTACTTGTGGGGGGTGATGCAGATTTTTTTTTTTTTTTACACTGATTGCTTTTACACCCATATAGGATGTAAAAGCAATCATTTCTCTTTCTCTCTGTCTGCATTCTTGCAGCCATTGAGAACTACTGAGTGAGCTGTGACTGGTCACAGCTTGTCACATGGTACAATGCTGTTGTGAATAGCCTTGTACCATGTGACCTCTCTGTGATCATTCACAGATTTCACACGTAGTAAGCAATGATGTCACAAGTGACATCTTGCTTACTACTTTGCATGTGATCGCTGATTGGCCAATCAGCGATCACATGATCGGGACCTCTTACAGAGGTCCCATCTGATGATCGGTGTTTCACTGTGTCCGGAGCACACAGCGGACACTGGATCGCAGTGCTCCCAGGGAGCGCGCACAAGCAGGGTGCAGGGAGGCCGTTTATAAACGACCACCCGACCCTGCAGTGCCAACGTCCGGCCGTTTATATACAACGGCTGGACGGGAGGTGGTTAAAGCATCCACTCAGTGCTGAAATGCACATGGGCTAGTATCAGCATAGTGGGGAGCTGTATGTTCATAGCCAGGGGCGGACTTACCATTGGAGCACTCGAGCACTGCCCGAGCGCCCGGGGTCAGTAGGGGGCCCCATGAAATGCCCCTGATACCTTTTATAGGCTTTTTTGGGTGTGCTTTGAGTGTGGACAAGGACACAGGGGCCCCATGATCCCCTATTGCCCGGGGGCCCCATGAGTTGTCTGTCTGTCCCTGTTCATAGCCCACCATCCATAGGTAAAATAGTGTTACTAAATACTGCTGGATCTGTAGGTTCAGATTATTGAAGCATGTGTGGATTGCCAATGGAGCAGATTTTTAAATTGTTCTCTGCTGTGCAGAGAATACACAGCAGCAGCCTGGCCAGTCAGTGATCACATGATCGGGACCTCACACAGAAGTCCCGTACAGCGATTGGTGGGATTGCACACAATGCGGGTGCCGTTTATGAATGGCAACCGCGCTTCTGCACTGCTCCCGCCCGGCCGTTTATGTACATGGGCGGATGGGAAGTGGTTAAACCATGTTTAACAGTTATCATGCACCTGATTTGATAACAAGGGTGGCTAGTTAGGGTTTCACTTTTGCTTACCTGGAAAATATATTTAGTTAAAGCAGTAGTAAAGTCTCTAAAAAAAAAGAAAAAAAAAAAAAAGGATTTCCCCCCGCAAGGTAATATAATGTGCTACCAGCACATTATGAGATACTTACCTTAAAATGAAGACCTCCAGCGGCATGCTGTCACCGCTGACAGGGCTTCCATCTTCACCTGGTCTTCCTTCTGGACCACACCACCATTGTTATGGCCATCTCTACCGTTCTATAAGCTTCACATTTATGCTATGTTTGTGAGTATGTTTTCATTCCTTTTTACCTTTAATAAACCTTGGATAATGCACTAGGGCTGTGCGCCTCCTGTTTGCTCTTTTTTCAGTTGTTGATTTCCCTATCTGAGGAGGGCAGCATCTCCGAAAGGCTATCCATAGATGATTTTGATCCTGGTTCCCTTGGCTTTCCTTTGGCATTTGATACCTGGAGCGCTGAAGAGTTTATTCTTTCTCCTGGGATTGTCTGGTGTCCGCATAACCTGTCACAGATGACAGATGCGGATAACACAGGGAGGACAGAACAGTCAAATCACACTAAGCACTTTGGATTGAGGCAATACACACTATAGAAGTGGTTCATTCATTCATTGCAGTGGTTTACAACCACTTTAAAGCTAAGGAAAGTGATTCCTGTCTTTTTTACAACTTTGGCACTATTGGTTAATGTCCTTATTTTACATCTATCAAGTCTGATGAAGTAGCCTGGATGTTTTGATAATATGGCAATAAGGGTTTTTTTTGTAGTGTAGATACCTACATATAATGTTCAGCCTGTACAGTGATTGACTGTTGCCTGAGTCCTGCAAAGCAGATTAAATGTTCATGATCATAATTATTTTTCTAAAATGGGGACAAATTTTATTTAAAAATGTTCTTAGTTAACTTGAAGGCTGAATGGCCAAAAAACAAGCAATGCGACATACATGTAATAAACAATATGTCCATATAGCTCATTTTTAATCAGCAACATTTTCAGATAGTCCCACAAAGCTGATGAGATTTATTAAGAACTCTAAATGGAGCAGAGCTTAAAGACTCATATATTTTCTAGCATTTATTATCCTTTTTTTCAGAATAATGTTGGAGAAGAAGCTGGTTGCCATGGTAATCCACGGCAATGCTTTCTATTCCTGTCCAGATGATTTACTCTGCAAAAAAAAAAAGCACAGTTCTTCCTATGCCATAGGCATTGCCCTTTCTACAGAAGAAATTTGCACAGTTCACACTTGACTGATGTGTGCTGTGAATAGGGTCCACAGGTGGAGCAGACATTACTGTGTTTCACTATACAACACAAATCTCATCTGTCGGGTTGAGGCTGATAGTGTAATATAGATGTGGTATAGATTACAGGATGTCTAGCGTTTTGTAATAACTCATCTGTAATGCTATGTGTGATTTAAAGTGGTATTGAACCCAAAAACAAAAATGTACTAAGATGTACTAAACTCACTAAGTCTTAGTTGTGGTAGATACTTTAGTTTCCTTTTATAGGTTTTTTTCCTTTATCCTTTATTTTCATCTGGTGATCCAGCCAGTGGGTCTGTAATTTTCCATCGTATTTTACCAGACCAAGCTGTTCAGAGTAGCAGTTAAAGGTTTGAGACAAATGGGGGTGCGTACAATAAACAGCTTTTATTTATTTATGTAAAACCCTTTTCCCAAAAGGAAAAGAAAACCAAAAGTGCTTGCTGTAACTGCTTCTAAAGTGTTATCTGGTGTTTAGCTTTAATTTGTTAGTTAAGTCCATCTAAATCTGCTAAAATTGGGTAGACAGGGTTAGTCTTTTTCCGTTCAACCAGAAGGCTGATTCCTTCATCAACAAAAGTGATGTAGATGCATTAATCCCCCTGACCTGGACATTGTATTCTGACAGTGGGGACTGCCTCCTGTCAAAATACACTGATCATCACTGCAGATGACTGCCTGCAAGCCGCTGATGGAGGAAGGTTTTGCAGCAGTCTCTTTTGACAGATGTCAGTCGGCTTCTGTCTAACAGGGAAGGCTACACATAACTACACATTACCCTACACACACACCTATATACTACCCTCTTCCTAGAATGACAATTCTGCTGCCCAAAGGTGTCTGCTTTACTACTTCATCCAAAATGCAGACACCATAAGACAGGCAGTGTGTTACTTGATGGATCACCAGGTTAAATAAAGGGGAATAAAGCCTAAAATAGAGAACAAATACAGTCATCACATCCAAGGACTGGTAAGCTGCAGTATATTACCTTTTTGTTTTTGGGTTTTAATACTTCTTTAAGCCTACATTCACACGTTAGCTGAGAGGATTTCCAATGATTCTGAAACCTGTTTTTGCACATGTAAACCTTTTTTTTAAACGTTTTACAAGCTTTGTGCAAACATTTTGCAAATGTATCAAGCTTCAAGCCTCCTTGGGCTAGGCAAGAGGGAGCGATGTGAATGCGTACTAATATTTAAAGAAATCCTGTACTTGATGAGTGCCATCACCTCAGAAAAAGATGTCCCTCATATTACACCCCCTCTCATGGGTTCCATGGTGCATAGTAAAACCTAATAACCATCACAACTAAATGAATGAGATAATCATTTCTTAATTAGCACATAATCTGAATGCCTATACATGCTGTATTTGATATATGTTATACTCAGCAGTAACTTTCAGGTTAATTGACTCCCTAAGCTCTCTGTCCTGAATTTTGCTTACTTGTTTTCTTGAATCCTTGGGTTTGTGTGCGCTTATTTCCAGGTGTTAAATTTAGATCAAGGTTCACAGCCCCTCTTCAAGGCTTGTATATGCTTGATATAAGAGCAGAACTTGGGGGCTAAGCTGTGAAATAATTCTGTATATGTAAAGATAAAATGAAGTCTGTTAACATTATATTATAGCTTATAGTACGTTTACTACTTGTTGGATGGTTTGGTATATAATTTGATTTTTACCAGAAATATCCATTGATTATTTTTCTGTTGGTCTCTCTTGCAGCTGCACCTTACTGGATCACTGAACCTAGGAATCTTGTATTGTCTCCAGGAGAAGATGGCACATTGCTTTGTAGAGCTAATGGAAATCCTCCTCCCGCTATTACATGGCTAATAAACGGAGTGGCAATTGATTGTATGTAATACAGAACTCTTGTTTACTGCACACTTTGTAAATAATAGAGAACATTTACATTATTCCATTCCAGGGCTAAAGATACACTGTGCATAAAATCAGAGTACAGAGGCATTCCATTTGTAAGAAATTTGTAGCAAATTTCCATTGCAAATGTGATTGACTGACATCACTGCCGTATAAGCATACGATAGATAGATAGATAGATAGATAGATAGATAGATATTTTTTGAGGGTGGACAGCACCAACAAGAAACCATGAAAAAAAAAACAAAAAGAGTGAGGGGCTACAGTACAGAGAATGCTATTAATTGATTGTTAAACATCATATAAATGCAGCAATGTTTTAGGCTTTCCTGCCTTCTATCAGGCTTGATAAAGGGCAGAGATGCCTGTACTGTTGTTTAATTTATATTCTGTTTAGTGAACAATATATATTGCAACCCCTCTCTCTTGTTTTGTAGAAAAGAAAAAAAGTGCTCAACATAACCTCCAAGCACTTCCTTAACATGCAGGAATCAGGTGTTGGCTTGGAGTCCATCACTTCTCCACTGATGGGCTTAACCTCCTTAGCGGTTTTCCTGAGTGTAGCTCGGGGTAAAATTTCTATACCAAGAGCGGTAACCCCGAGCTACACTCGGGCTTACCATGCGGCGTTGCTCAGGGGGGTCCCTGCAGCACTTACCTTGTCCTTCGCTCCCGTGATGTGTCCCCTGCAGCGTCCCCGGCCATCTCCTCCGGCCGATGCTGGCATCCGGCTTCTGTGTTCCGGTCCCTGTGACATTGGGACGTACGGGCGCCGGAACCGGCGGGAAATTTGAAATTTTTAAAAAATAAAATTTTTGCTGTCATTGCTGTTTCAATGTATTTCACATATATTTTGTCCCGAGTGCTTTGTCTTGTACCCTGCCTGCATTTTGAATGTTCTTTCTCTGCCTGGAAACTTAGAAGAGTCCATGGCGTCCAAAAAAGCGTCCCTTTACGTCAAAAGCGGTTTTAGAACAGCGATAGTAAATCAGAACCACTTGCAGAATTGAGTGATAATGATTCGTGGGGAAATTCGTCATCAGACACTGAAAATGATTTTGCGACTTTGCTCAGCGATGTGCGAATTTGCCTCTGTATTTCAAATTTCAGTGTTTTTGGTTTGATTATATTATTGAATTAAATTTATTATTATTATATTATTATTTTTTTATGATTATTTATTCAATTATAATTTATGATTTCATGTTTCAAATTTTATCCTACCCGGGATGTTTAATAGACTCTTGTTCGTACAGATTTCAGTGAATTATTCCTAAAAATTACAGCCTACAATAAAAAACTATATATTTCCATGCAAAAAAATGGTTCTGCTTTCAGCACAAAAAATCGGAAAGAATCATACCGCCAAGGAGGTTAATCCTAGAGGACCTCTGTGATCAAGCTCATTGGGGGAAAGAGGACCATGTGCTGAAGCTTGTCAGCTGATTACATTTCTGCCTGTTTCAATTAAGCTCACCTTTCAAAAAAATATTAAATGCACACAGGAGAAGAGGATCTTGGGCATCCAGTGGAGGGAAAGGATACCAGGGAGACACACTGAGGAATGGTCTGAGGAAGGAGTGTCTGCACATGCTCCGAAACGCATTACCGCTCCCTTGATGTTACTTCCGGTGTATGTGTTCTACATTTCTCTTGGGAGTACAGCGGCCGTCTTGTCCGTGTGTTCCACCACACTCACTACCGCTGGTCGGCTCAGTGTGTCTCCCTGGCATTATACCTGCTTTTATCTGACTGCTATCTTGTAAGTGCTTTTAACCTTTACTGCTCAATAAACTGCTGCATACTGCACTTAGAGGAGCCTTCCTTGCTATTTACTTTACTAGAGTCTGCTTCCACTCTTGAAGAGCTACTCCAGTGCACAGTGTGCTTCCATGTCATCTGGTCTCCTTTCCCTCCACTGGATGCCCGAGATCCTTTTCTCCTGGAAGTCATACCGTTGCAGAGCACCCTACGAACATTGTTACCTTTAATGATCAACTTTATGGAAATTATAGTAAAAGAAAGAGTCACAAAACTGTTTTGTCAGTCTAAAAACAGATACTGTTCTCATGAATAAAAAGGCCTTGTTAAGACATCGTTGAGTAGCCAAATGTTGTTGCATCTTTTGCCTTTCAAAATTATTGCAAATGTATTTATTGTGGCATTTAAAAAAAATTATCACAATACAACTACCTGGTGATATGTTTCTGCAGTGGCTCCTCATGATCCAAGCAGAAGAGTAGAAGGTGATACAGTGATGTTTACAAAGGTGCAAGAACGAGCTAGCGCAGTCTACCAGTGTAATGTTTCTAATATATATGGCTACCAGTTGGCAAATGCATTTGTAAATGTTCTAGGTAAGACACTACTTTTTTATTCTTTTTATATAAATAGTAACATATAATATTTTATTGAATTTCTTATCAGCAAAATGTGCTTAATGTTTTAGCTGAGAAGCCGCGGATCCTTTCATCACAGAAGGTTTATCAAGTCATTGCTAATAAAGCTGCCTTTCTTGACTGCCCCTTTTTTGGGTCACCTATTCCTCATATAGAATGGTAAGACAAATATTGTTATAATGTATTTAACACTCATAAAATACAAGGGACTTAAAACAGAACTTCACTCTCTCAATCAGCATGGACTATTTCTAATCCTTATGCTGCTAGCATTAGTAATAAGATAGGAAAGTATATCATATTTACTTGTTTTAACCTTTTTTTTTTTTCTTTTTGCATTCCTTCATTTACTTCCTGGTTTCCATGCCTAGACAAAATAATGTCATACATCCCAGGAGTCTTCAGGAGGGGAGGGAGGGTTCTCAGCTCAGCCAATGCCTGAGCTAAGGACAGGTGGATTCCAGGAAGTAAACTGCTACATGCATCATCTGTCCCTACTCAAGATAGCCACTGCCAGAAATGGCAGGAGGTGTTTTTCAAAATGATTTTTCAGCAAAATAAAGCATGGAGTCATGGATGGGTGGAGGAATTTGTTTTGAATTTTAAAGATGAATTATATAGCATTTTTGGTTTGTGGTACTCAGATGCAGTGCAGTTCCACTTTAAAAAGCCAAAATACAGCCAAAGCAGATATTAACAAAAGGACTTTGTCTAGTGGAGCGGGGAAGGGATAGAACCTCCCATTGACAATTGTGCCCTTAATGTCCTAATATCACATGGACAGAAATTTCCCCGTTTACATCAAGCAATGAAAACCTGACAATTGTTCCAACCCCTCTTTGCTCTGTTTTAAAACTAGAAAAAAAAGATTTTGGTCTGGTGTTGCAATTTAAAGTGATCTTAGGCAAATGTTTTTGCAGAAGCCATAAATAGCCTAGCACAAAATACATATTCCTGACATTAGCACCTTTTACTAATAAAAAATGTCTATATGCCCTGGTGTCTCTTTTTATTACTTCTAATGGAAATATTCTAATATTTTGCACCTAGTGAATATGCCAGTTCATACTAACTAGGTTTGTTTCCATTTTACACTGAGGGTGGAATCACCCTTTTTTTGTTATGGGTGTTAGTGTATTGCCGTGTCATTCATTTTGAATGGTACCCAATGCACTAAGGAAAAGCAACATCAACACACATGTATTACAGTGTACAACACACAGCAATGCACTTCTGTATGGTGTGGTGCGCTGTGCCATGGAAAATGCTGCACGTCCATTATTTTGTCTGTTCTTTTGCATTTACAGCCCATTTCTTTGAATAAGCAGCCTTAATGCAATGTTGTATTTTATTGCAATGCTCCGAAATGGAAAGGTCAGGATAGTTCCTTATTGTTCTGTACTCCAATAATGATTCTACTGACAGTTTATTAAAATAGGGTATTGTAGTTTTTAGATTTGCAACTTGGAATCCACATTATTGGGCTTTTTATTGAAATGTTAAAAATTCACTGATCTGTATGCCTGTTCCAGGTCAGTAACTTGGAAAGTACTGAAGCCAGAGTCAGCTAGGCAACTAACATTTTCAAGAATTGTCGGCAATGGTTGCCTTTTTTTTATGCAGGTTTCCTATATATATATATATATATATATATATATATATATATATATATATATTCATTCATTTGGAGTTCTTCGTCTTTCAAAATGCATTTATTCTCTGTTGTAGGTTCAAAGGCATGCAAGCCAGTGTTCTGTATGGTAACGGGTATATTTTCCATGATAATGGGACACTAGAAGTGCCTGTTGCCCAGAAAGACAGCAGTGGGACCTACACATGTGTAGCCAGAAATAAATTAGGAACAGACCAAAAACTGTCGAGCTTGAAGTCAAAGGTAATGAAAGATTCATAGGTTAAACACATCAAATTGGAGACTCAGGATATGTTTAGGAATACACATGTATAATTTATTCTGTTTTGCTTTTTAGATCCAACAATGATTATCTCTCAGCCAGAATACAAAGTGATTCAGAGATATGGTAGTGCATTCTTTGAATGCAAAGTTAAGCACGATCCTACTCTAGTAGCAGAAGTGCTGTGGCTGAAAGACAACAGTGACCTGCCCATTGATGAAAGGTAGTGCATCGTTTTTGAGTAACTCATTATATATGCAATATGAGATAATTGGGCAGAGGGAGACTGCATAAAGAAGAGAATTAGATTTTATCATGCCTTTAATTTTACTTTTACTATTACTTAAAGGAAAAGTGCGCTTCAAAGTACACATATTCTTTTTTTTGCTTCTTTTTCCCACCTCACCAAGGGAAGCCTTGCAATTGTGCTTGCAGCCTTCTGAGGTTGTTTGCATCCCTCTGCTGAACGTCTGTGTACTAATAGTTCTAAAATGGTTTCCTATAACCCTATTGGATTAGTAACAGGGTGGGGCAAAAAGGATATGTACACTTTGAAAAAGCACTCTTCCTTTAGCTTGTAATTTTCTTTGTGTTATAATATATATATTTTGTGTATATATGTATATCATAGAAATCCTCATCACTCAATTCATTGACAGATGTGCTCCTGTAGAGAATAATACTGTCTTACAGAATTTCCACCCTCTCAGAAGGCTCCAGCTTTGGTTTGTGGAAAGGCTTTTATTCACCCTTTCTGTGCTGATTTTACAGTAACTGTGTGATCACGGTTACAGGCTGTCCTCTTAATGCACCAATTTTTTTAAGTAGGCAAATGCTTTAATACTTCTTAAATATATAGTCAAATCAGTTCACACATTTCAGTTTATAAATAGTGGTTTATTTATTAAAAGTGCCAGGTACAGAAGCCCATGACAGCCAAAGAGCATTCATCTTTTGACTACAAAAACCTGAGATTTGTTGTTTGATCATTATACTATATGCAATCCCTTATTATTTAAGCATGAAAATTATTTATTTAAAATCTATAATCATGGGAACATTAAAAGCTATGACCACCTTTTGCCGAAAAAAAATAAATGCAACTTCATATGCAGAAAGAAATGGACATTTATTGTTTTTTCCAACACAATGCAACCATGATCAATGGAACATGGGTGCAGTGCCTGGCTCCTGCAGTCTCCTCGTCTATCTCCTTGTCTGTACTGAGGTATGGACGTTTGTTTATGGAGCGGGGGGGGGGGGGGGGGGGGGTAGTGTCACTGGGACTACAAGTGCGGTTATCACTGCACTTGTGTGCGGTTATCACTGCCATTGATAACTACACTTCTGTCTGTCAGATCTGTTTATTCATAGATCTCTGTAAATGTATGAAATGTCTATCTGGGTGGACCCATGCAAAAAATAAAAGCTAACAGCTGTTGCTGGGGAGAAGAACCCCAACATGCTGTCAGAGGGATTGTTGGTTTGTGGGTGTTGGGCTTGGCACCATAATACATGTTACACCCAATATACTTGTATAGAGTATATGTTCCAAAGGGTGAAGTCAACTTTAACTACCCTACACAATTCAAGGGTAAACAACTGATCTTTTCTTTTTCTAGATTCCTTATTGAAAAGGAGCGTCTGACTATCAAGAACATAACAGACAAGGATAAAGGCACTTACACTTGTGTAGTAAACACTACCTTGGACAGCGCCTCAGCCAGTGCAGTGCTCACAGTTGTTGGTAAGATTAACTTGTGTTTTTCATTTGGGATTTCAGTTTGTTTAAACTGCTTTAGAAAATATTTTTTCATTGAAGCTTGTTGTATATTTTTTAAATAAATCATACTGACAGCTAATATTAACTAGCGCTAATGCGATTTTGGCTGATACTGTCATTGAAAAGCAGGTATTGACTTGCTAGTTCAGACTATAGGGATAGGATTAACCTTCCTCTTGTGTTAGTTTCCTGTTACCATCTCTTATGTTAACGGGTCGGTTTTAACCCGTGTCTTAAATCAGCTGTAAAATACACTAAAAACAATTATCTATCATCCAATTTGTTTCTCATCTCTTGGTTACGTTGTTTAGGATTCCTTATCCATGAAAATATTGGTTTTAATATTTCTGGTGTGGGCCCCTGGGCCTTTTTTTGTCAGTATACCCCTCGATTTCAATTAAAAACAATGTAAAATGAACCTCAAGAGAACCATATAAATAAATAAAAAGGTTTTTTATGTCACCTGACTATTACTGAGGGGATTTAGAACACATCTCTGAAATAAATTTGTTTTTTGTTTATTTTTTCATTTTAATATTATTAACTATAGTAACATCTGTGGTGTTACGGGTCAATTTCGACCCTATATATATATATAATTACTTCAAAAAGGCAAAAAAGTCTCTTTTTTCAGCAATAGAACTTTAGTACAAACACAAAATGAAAAACAGAATATATATATATATATATATATAACATAACTATAACAAAATATAGATTTGCAAGGTCAAACAAACAACAACTAATCAAGCAAATCAAACCAATAGAAATCAATTACTTGTTCCAACACTAATAAAAAACAAAATCAGAGTAAAAGTCTGTGTGCAAGAACATGTATGTGTGTGTGTGTGTGTGTGTGTGTGTGTGTGTGTTTAGATGCATGTGTGGCAAAAAGTGACACTTTTAGTGTGTTCTTTGCAGAGATATTTGTTGCAGTTGAAGAACAGTACATTGGTCTTTCTGTCCTTACTGCTTGGGCAGACCTGACATCTCTTTCTTTTAGAATCAGGTGGCCTGAGTGGGGTTGTGGCTGTGGTGGATGATGTTGAGGCAGGGGCTGGCTGAGGAGGATGCTGACGTGGACAAAGTGCTAGGTGACCTGTGCAGCTGTCTGACCAAGACTGCAGCATGTGGGTCTCGGGGCACCTGTTCCCTCCGCTCAATGTGTGGCTTGACAAGGAAATTTCCCAGCTCCTCAAGAAACATTCTCCGCTTGTTTATTTTGGTTGAGTTCCATCCTTGGTGGATGTGGGTCCACAACACAAATGCATTATACGCGACACATCAAGGATGTTGTAAAACACAACCATTGGCCATCTCCTGGTCATTCTCTGGCAAGTGTAGGTGGCAGTCAGCTTGTCCACTCCTCCTTTGTTTTTGTTATAGTCGAGGATAATTGTGGGCTTTTGTCACTTCCTGATGACACAGCTGCATCTTTGTGAAGAGTAGACATAAATATCACATTCCTTTTTTTTTTTTGGACAATGAGACAACAGTGGTGGTGTCAAACTTTGTGGACAGTGCAGCCCTGTCCTTCACCTGTAAGATTTCAGCAGGCAGCTCAGGTTTATTTTTCTTCACTGTGCCCACCATGGTAAGTGATATTTGTCCGAAGGTGACACTGCAGTCCAATAGTCATATCGAGGACCACACGTTTTCCTTGGTTTTTCTCAGGGATGCCACTTGCAGCTTTGCCTGTGTAAATCTGTAGATTCCAGGCATAGCTGGTTTTTGCACCACAGGCTGCCCAGATTTTTTTATGCCGTACTTCCCTGACTTACTGGGTATGTATTGCCAGAAGGGGCATTTTCCTCGAAAAGGGGCAAGACGTTCATCCACTGTCACCTCTGGCCCAGGGTTGAACATCAGTGGAAGGAGCTGCACCCATCTCTCCCAGACATCCCTCATGGGGGCATGTTTTGTTTTTGTGCAGGTATACTGGAAAACAAGGCAAAATGAGAATCCCCTAAAGCTCACATGATTGGGAGAGGAGCTGGCTGTCAGTGTGCTGATTGACAGTGAACTTATGATTTCAGTTTTGGCTCTAATTATTGCTTTATAATCTTATTTATATAACTGGGTCGAAACCGACCCTAACACAAAGGTCATAATTTCAACTTGAGCATTTTATAATTTAGTGAAAACAATTTTTTTTTTTTATTTTGTTGAAATAGAGGTTCCTGACAAAGTCATAAAGTCTTGATGCAATAAAAAAATTTATATGGTTATTTTATGCATTTAAAAACCTAAAAACGGGGTCGGTGCCGACCCTAACACAAGACGAAGGTTAAGTTACTATAAAGTGGGGATCGAAAGTTTGGGCACCCCAGCTAAAAATTTGTATTAATGTGCATAAAGAAGCCAAGGAAAGATGGAAAAATCTCCAAAAAAAAGGCATCAAATTACAGATTAGACATTCTTATAAAATGTCAACAAAAGTTAGATTTTATTTCCATCATTTACACTTTCAAAATAACAGAAAACAAAAAAATGGCGTCTGCAAAAGTTTGGGCACCCTGCAGAATTTATAGCATGCGCTGCCCCCTTTGCCAAGCTGAGACCTGCCAGTGTCATGGATTGTTCTCAATTATCATCTGGGAAGATCCAGGTGATGTCAATCTCAAAGGTTTTAAATGCCCAGACTCATCTGACCTTGCCCCAACAATCAGCACCATGGGTTCTTCTAAGCAGTTGTCTAGAAAACTGAAACTGAAAATAGTTGACGCTCACAAAGCTGGAGAAGGCTATAAGAAGATAGCAAAGCGTTTTCAGATGTCAATATCCTCTGTTCGGAATGTAATAAAGAAATGGCAGTCATCAGGAACAGTGGAAGTTACAGCAAGATCTGGAAGACCAAGAAAAATATCAGACAGAACAGCTCGCAGGATTGTGAGAAAAACAATTCAAAACCCACGTTTGACTGCACGATCCCTCCAGAAAGATCTGGCAGATACTGGAGTTGTGGTACACTATTCCACTATAAAGAGATACTTGTACAAATATGGTCTTCATGGAAGAGTCATCAGAAGAAAACCTCTTCTACGTCCTCACCACAAAAATCATCGTTTGAACTTTGCAAATGAACATATAGACAAGCCTGATGCATTTTGGAAACAAGTTCTGTGGACCGATGAGGTTAAAATTGAACTTTTTGGCCGGAATGAGCAAAGGTACGTTTGGAGAAGAAGGGGCACAGAATTGAATGAAAAGAACCTCTGTCCAACTGTTAAGCATGGGGTTGGATCAATCATGCTTTGGGGTTGTGTTGCAACCAGTGACACAGGGAACATCTCAGGAGTAGAAGGAAAAATGGATTCATAAAAAAAAAAAGCTGAAGTTAAAGAGAGGATGGCTTCTACAAATGGATAATGATCCTAAAAACATCTCGAAATCCACGGGGGATTACATCAAGAGGCGTAAACTGACGGTTTTACCATGGCCTTCACAATCTCCTGACCTCAACATAATTGAAAATCTATGGATAGACCTTAAAAGAGCAGTGCGTGACAGACAGCCTAGAAATCTCAAAGAACTGGAAGACTTTTGTAAGGAAGAATGGGCAAAGATACCTCAAACAAGAATTGAAAGACTCTTGGCTGGCTACAAAAAGCATTTACAAGCTGTGATACTTGCCAAAGGGGGCAGTACAAGATATTAACTCTACAGGGTGCCCAAACTTTTGCAGACGCCATTTTTTTGTTTTCTGTTATTTTGAAAGTGTAAATGATGGAAATAAAATCTAACTTTTGTTGACATATTATAAGAATGTCTAATCTGTAATTTGATGCCTTTTGGAGATTTTTCCATCTTTTCTTGGCTTCTTTATGCACATTAATACAAATTTTTAGCTGGAGGTGCCCAAACTTCTGAGCCCCACTGTATATATAATAATATATAGGCCAAACACTTTATCATAAAATAAATGAACAATAAGCACAGAAATTATATTTGCAAAGTGGTCTAATCATTAAGAAAAATGTCTTTGTAATCCTCTTTACATCTTCCTTATTTACAATACTCTGTCTTTTCCAAACATATTCTGAGTGCCTTCACACCATTAAGTGCTCTCTTCACCACTAGTATGTTGAAAACTATCACCCTAAAGGATGGATCTCTAGGTTATAAGAAATCATGTACAGCCCAATCAAGAATATCCCAGGCAGGGGCGCGGACTGACCATTCGAGCACTGCCCAAGGGCCCGGGGTCAGTAGGGGGCCCCATGAAATGCCCATGGTACCTTTTTCATAGGCTTTTTTGAGTGTGGGCAAGGACACAGGAGCCCCATGATCCCCTATTGCCCAGAGGCCCCATGAGTTGTCAGTCCACCCCTGATCCTAGGTGTGGACAAGATAATCCTTCTTTCAACCTCCCTCCCCCTTCACCTTTCCTCTGATGATCTTATACCATCAATAGAGTAATAATTAGCCACATAGTGCTCCTTGTGGAATCATTTATTAAAATTAGAAATTGGAAACTGGATTCCCAGCCAGCTATCAGTTCTTCTGAAACACCTCTGTCTGTGTGAGCCAGCAGGCAGACTTCCCTAGGTAATGCCGGTATGCGATGCTTGGACCCTTATGATTGAAAGGGGTGAACCAGTGACAGTAAGGCTAGCGAGAAAAGGGCTAGATGTCGTCCAGCCAGGATATGAGGTGGGCTTTGTCTGACTTGCTGCAACTTCTAATGCACACTGTGAGAAGCTCACAATGTGCAGTGAAATCAAAGTAAGTAATTTTGGTATAGGAGAGGAGCCTGTACATTTTCAGGTTTAAGGTCATTGATCAAGGGTTAGGTATAGATGATGACAATAGATTAGATAAGAGTTTATAAATAATGCACCTAAGGAAAAAGAATCCCTTGACAGAGTACAATATTTGGGTACAGTGTTGGCCAGCACTACAGAGCAAAAGATTTGGGAGTACTTATTTCAGATAATAGCAAATTGAGCAAACAGTGTGGCCATGCAGTGGAAACATCAAATAGAATTCTAGGATGCTTCACTAGAGGGGTCACCATCAGAAGAAAGAAGGTCCTGATTCCCTTATATAGATCTTTAGTTAGACCTCATTTAAAATACTGTGTTTAGTTCTGGAGAACTCGCCTACAAAAAGATGTTGATAAGATAGGACAAGTCCAGAGACCGGCAACAAAAATGGTGAAAGGTCTGAGGGATAATATCATGAGAGACTTCAAGAACCTAATATGTACAGTCTTGAGGAAAGAAGGGGAGATATGTTTGAAATGTTTAAATATATCTAAAGGGTAAGTAAGGTTCTGGAGGGGGCAGTATTTTTAATATGAAGCTAAGATCAAGAACACAGAGGCATGACTTGAAACTAGCAGGAGGAAAGTTCAAAACGAATCAGTATTATTTTACCAAAAGAGTAGATGATGTTTGTAATAGACTTCCAGCAGAGGTAGTGAATCAGTCAACGAGAAGTGGATTCATACATGCTTAGGACCAAACTTAGGTCTATACTCAGACAAAAAAAGTTAACAAACAAAAATCATCTATAAATTTAAAAAATTAGGGCAGACTTGATGAAACACTTGGTATTTTTTTCTGCTGTCACTGTTCTATGTTTTTACCCTATACTTCAAGGCTCCAACGCTGAGCCTTTAGGGCTCCGATCCTACAGCAGCAGACTCCTTTGCAGCCACCTGACCCTCCTTCCCACTTGCCCAATCACAGAAGGCTTTGTGTTATGTGGACCCATTCACAAAATGCAAAACCTTCTGTAAAGACAGCAGAGGGGAGGGGTGAACAAAGCAGCTGCTGGTGTAGCAGATTATATCTTTCCTGTTAAAATGACAGGAATGTAGCATTATCTGTACTCCTGGTGCTCTGTAAAAAAAATGTAAATAGTAAATTAAAGGATAATTTCACCTTTTGTAACAGGTTCCATGTTACATCCATATTCAGTGTGTAACATGTTATAGAGGTTATAAATGCACCAGTGTCTGCCGCCGAGTGCCCAGCCTCACCATTTGAGTTCTCTGAATGTGAAAAATACAAGTTCTTTGCAGATCTTGGCTTGTACTTCTCAATGATCTTCCAGGATGCTGTTGAGCCTGAGTGTAATTGACTGCCCATATTGGAGGTATGGGCAGACAGATGCACAGACAGTCTGCAGGACTGTGGCATTACACCCATCATCTGCTGATCATGGGTGCAATGCTTTACAGGCTCCTAACAAAAAAAATAATAAATGCATATTTTTTTTACCTGAAAAAATGTGCATTTATTATGTTTTTGGTAAAGGTAAACTTATCCTTTAAAGAGAAAAGTCCACATGAAGTCGCACACTTTGTTGGACTTAACCCCTTATAAACCATCATATTTTTAAATATTCTACATTTACTGGAGTTCTGCATTAGGTGAGTTGATAGCCCAGATGTAAAGCATACCCAGCTGCTTTTGCAAAATGTGCACATTTTGTAAATAATACAGAACTTTTACCATGTCACATTTTTTCTTTAAACCCATAGTTAACTCTGCTTTTAGTAATGCTGTCGTTTGTGTATATGTGCCAGAATTAAATGTATAATATATGTATTTTGTTAAATAGTAGATAATAAAAAAATATAATATAGTAATTAAACTACTGGTCTATGTTGTTTTACATTTAGTCATCATGGTCATTTATAGCCACCTTATTAAAAAGCACACTAGAGTAAACCATGAGTCAGCTTGTCACACAGAAAATCAGTTAGTTTCACATTTTATGGTTACTCATTTTTAAGCTTGTTTTATACTACCTAATAATAATTATTTGTATTTACTGTACAAAAACACATGCAAATCAGAGTTAATTCATGACATTCAGTTTGCAAAGCATTCTGGATGGAAGTCCTTTCAGTCCTATTTCTAATTGCAGAGAGCCTATGCATATCATTCAGATGTAGTTTGATCTCTCCAGCTCTATATGCATACTTCCAAGAAGAATTGTGTTTGATCATGATCTTGTTTGGCTTTGCTGGCTGCAAAGTCATAATTGTGAGATATTCATATGTATTATTTAATTTTTATAAATAAAAAAACTGCAATAAAAAGTGCATGTCTCTTAACTGATTTGCAGTATTTAGCTTATGTATATTTACCCCCCCCCCCCCCCAGTCATAAGTGTAGGTACAGTAGCCACAAGATTTGTGTTTTAAACTTTTTGAGTAAACATTTTAATATTTGACTTGTTTCTAAAGATACTAGTTCAGAGTTATGAAAAGTGGATCTGTTGTAAATCAACCAATCACTTTGCATATTTTCTTTTTACTAGTGAAACATTTTTCATGAACAGGTCCAGAATGAAAATACATAGTTTAGGTTCCCAGCCCCTTATTAGCTGTTGATTTCATTTCTAAAGTGTTCTACAGTGAAATAGATTTTGACTGATATGACATTGCAACCTTTTGAATTTGCTGCAGTGCATGGTATCAATAAAATACCAGTGCTAGCAAGGTACATGAGCTAATGGATGTGTATCTGCAGATGCATCACCCCAGCTGGTGTTCAGGCTGTACTAAGACACCAATTCCCATTGTCTACAATATGCATTGATTTCAATGGTAAACACAGGCTGTAATGCATATCCTCTGAATGTTACAGCACAGCAAGTCTTGCTGTACAGAAGTCAAAACAAAGCTTTATTCAATAAGATGTGATGCACTGTGCAGTGACTTATGTATATATACATATATGCAAATATGTGGTTGCAGAGACCCATCATATTCAATGAATCTAATCAGAAAAATAAAATTTTTTTCAGTTAACCTTACTAAAATATGCTTAAAATGGTTGGCATGGCCATTGGTTTCTGGCCATTGATTGATGCTAATATTTTGTTAATATTCCTTGCAGAAGCTACTCTGCCACCACCTGTAAAGAACGGTAAACTGAAACTTCCACTCATGTATATGTTTCCACTTTAAACATATCATAAGTTCATCATGTCCATTTTTTGTGACAACGTTGCATGGCATTTTCTGATTTTTATTGTTTCTTTTTGTATTACATGCATAGTTTAAAGGGGAAATAGGATTTTAGGATAATAAATACATGTATCAATCTACAATATGCATTACCTTTACTGCTAAATGCCAGTGTCAGACACAACAGAGGATCCTCAGGTGCTCCCTAGTCTTAGTGTGCATCCGGAACTTTAACTTGTCAGGCTCATGGAAATGGTTTTTTTTGCTATCTGAGGCTGAGGCTGCCTGTCTTTTTTGAAGACTGGTCAGTCTTACAAGATGGCCATACCACCCTCAGAGGGCTGCATAAACTTGTAAGGTCAGCTATGCAGACTTATGGGGTTATGTAAATGAAGTGGGGAGGAAAAGATTGCCACAGCGGGCAGACAGCAGTTTATCAGTAAGGAATAGTGTTGTAACTTGCCTGATCAACTGTTTTCCCCAGTAACAGCCATCCTGCAGGGTTGGAGACCTCCCATAGACATTTTGGTCATCTTATGTCTGTGGGTAACTTAGTATCTCAAAATGAATAAGACATCTACAGAAAATGTACTTTAAGCTTTTTTTTTTCTAGTGAGAATTTTTATCAAGCCATTTATGCTCCAGTCTGACACTCCCCCCTATATCACATTTGTAAATGATTATTGATAAATCTAATTGATAATACTCACCACCAATAATTAAAAGCACTGTATGATATTACTGATTATTTTCAATTTGGTAGCTGACCCAGCTCTTCATGTACAACAGAATACCAGATTTGTTTTGTTTTACTGACACTGATGCTTCCCCTTTAATGAAACCATTATTCTTTGGTCCTTACAATTGTTATTTTTGCATGGCTTAAAATGCAACAAAATGGTTCATTTGTGCACATGTAGCTTTCTGCTGCTAAATATGACTAGGGCATTTAGTTCGTAGTTGTGTTGTGGTACTTATTGTGTTGTACAGTGTGTTCATTGGAAGTCTTGTGTTTTTAGTATTACTGTGCAAGTGACCCTTCATTTTTAAAAAGTTATGTGATTGCTGCCAAGGGGCACATTTATACATTAGTTATCTTGTGCCTTATTTTTTTAAAAGTCTTTTTAAAGACTGAGGCAAGATGAATCACCCACCATCTGTCTTGGACACAATGATGGCAAAGATGGGAGGGTTGGTCAATTGTTCAGCTAAAATCCCCAGACATTAAAAGAGTGTGGCAACGATTAAAGTGAAATGCCAGACAAACAGCTAAATTATCAGTTTAAACACATACAATATACAGTCAAAGGTTTGTGGACACCTGGCCATCACACTATATTGGACATCCAATTCCAAAACCATGGGCATTGGGGGTCAATCTGATGCAGCATCTGTGCCCCGCTGGCTCTGCAGTGAGAACTGAGTGATCAAACCCTGCTGATTGCTCAGTTCTCCCCATAAGCTCTGAGCAGAGAGCTCTGATTGTCAGTCTCTGGCTCTCTGCTCTGCCCTTCCAGCGCTCACTGGAGCACTGGGCTGTGGAGGGGGCCGGAGGGCATAGCTCAAGCTGTCACTGGATCGCTGAGAGGCTGAGCCAGGTGCCGGTCCATGCATCTTGGTGGATCCCAACCATATGGTCATGATCTTTTCAGAACCTGGACCGACTGAGTGATGTCAGCCGACAGCGGACTTTAGCCTGCTGATGGCTGAAAATGGGTCACAGGAGTGCAGTTCATTCTCCTACAGGAGAAGTATAGCAAAAATAGCTTTTGCTATACTTCTCCTTTATTTTGGATTTTCTCCAGTTACTTTTATGGCTAGAATAGCTTCCATTCTTTTTGGAAGGCATTTAGCATGATATTGGAGTGTGTCTTTGGAAATGTGTACCCATTTAGCTGAAAAGATAAATAAATCGTCAATTAGAACAATCACATCTGGCCAGTTAGCAGGGATCTGTTCTAGAAATCTATGAAGCTGAATCAGGAAACATTGATGGTTCACCAGGAAGAAGCAACATGGTCATCCTAACAGAGGTGTGTTTATTACAAGAATGGGTAACACATCCATGGTTGGATAAAACATATCTGCTTGAACTGTGTGCCTACCTGTTTTATGGTGTGCCACTTTATAACTTTATATTCTCAAGCTTCCTCTTAAAACAAAATATTGGTTTTAGGAGAACTTAGCCTCTGAATTACTGTTACAGTATGGGTCATATGACTGAGTGCAGGTAAACTGCAAAGGCAGGAACTTCTCAAAAAGAACAGAGTAGCAGACTGTGTATTTTTGTACATTGGTTCTGAACATACTGTAGAGCAGAAGACTAGAAATGTTATAGCTTTGAATTATGGAGAATTCTAGTATAACAGAAATAAATTTTGCACTGAATGCAGCATGGAATTTTGCTTTATTTATGGCTGTACTGAAAGCTTTATGATATTTCCAAATTTATTTAACTACAGAAGCATTATCTTTCTCTTCTGCCATAGTCATGTATCTTTGACCTGCCGGAGCTGTCATCTACAGTGTGATGATTGGCTGCATGTGAATGTGCATACTCAGTTTTTTTTTTTGCTCCATATGAATTAGTAAATATGCTTCAAAGATTCCTTTCTGCCAGTACTACTAATCTCTTTCAGTTATTACAGGATACAGCCTATTTACACTGTATAATGGAACATTTGACTTTCAGATCGGCCAGAGGCACCTTCTGATTTGGAATTGACTGATCCTCTTGAAAGGAGTGTGCAGCTCTCATGGGTGCTAGGAGATGATAATAACAGTCCTATTACCGGTAAGTTAATACCAATTGCCGATGTACCCTTTTTATTTATTTCTTGTTAAGAAGCTGAAAATGTAAATAAAATGAATCAAAGCATAAGAAAAATCATTGTGTTTTCCATAAAAAGTTCCTATTTATTAAATAAAAACTCACATTAAAAAGTGCACTACTGCAGGTGCACTACAGATAAATTGCATAAATCCATTTTAGGACCGACGCTGGGGGCAATATATATGAAGGTTGCAACTTGTAGAGCAATTGCAGTGTACACTCACCGGCTACTTTATAAGGTACACTATGCTAGTACAGGGTTGGACCCCATTTTGCCTTCAGAACTGCCTCAATTCTTCGTGGCATAGATTCAACAAGGCATTGGAAACATTCCTCAGAGATTTTGGTCCATATTGACATGAGTTACTGTTGCCTTTCTATCATCTCAGCCAGTCTGCCCATTTTTCTTTGACCTCTGATGTCAACAAGGCATTTTCATCCACACAACTGCTGATCACTGGATATTTTCTCTTTTTTGGAACATTCTCTGTAAACCTTAGAGATGGTTGTGTGTGAAAATCCCAGTAGATCAGAAGTTTTTGAAACACTCAGACCAGCCCATCGGCACCAACAATCATGCCATGTTCACAATTACATGGCATGTTCAAAGTCACTTAAATCCCCTTTCTTCCCTATTCTAATGCTCAGTTTGAACTTCAGCAAGTCGTCTTCACCATGTCTAGATGCCTAAATGCATTGAGTTGCTGCCATGTGATTGGTTGATTAGCAATTTGTGTTACCAAGCAATTGAACAGGTGTACCTAATAAAGTGGCTGGTGAGTGTATATTATGATCTTTAACACTGTCCCCTTCAGTGATGGGTGCACTTACACAACTCCTTGATGTTTTCTTCCTCCCTTCTCTCTAGAGATAGCATCCTACATCACTGCCTTTGACCATTATGTATTACGCCACAGGGTGTGGCTTTATCAGAGGGATAGCTGTGTGAGGGTATTTTAAGCTTTTATTTCATAAATAGTAACTTTTTACAGAAAACACAATAATTTTTCTTATGCTTTGATTTATGGGCATTATTGCTGAAACTTATGGAGTTTTGTTAACTGGATTGCATGAAGAGAGGTTTTCAAATGGTCTTGGCATATCTAATTTATCCCTTCGGGGAACATGCATATGCAGTCTGTTACATATAGGTAAAAAAATTGAGGTGAGCTGCTAGTGGTGAAGAGATTCACAGCATGAGGTGTTTCTTTTGTATCATGGAGGATTGGGATCTTGGAAGGTTAGAGACCAGGGGCGAACTGACCATTTGGAAACTCAGGCACTGCCCGAGGGCCCGGGGTCAGTAGGGGGGCCCCATGAGATGCCCCTGGTACCTTTTTCATAGGCTTTTTTGAGTTTGGGAAAGGACACAGGCCCCATGATCCCCTATTGCCCGGGGTCCCCATGAGTTGTCAGTCCGCCCCTGTTAGAGACTGCAATTTAATACATTTACGTGGCCTTTTGTTGTTCTAAAAATAAAAAATTATAATTGTCATGGTTTTGGAATTGTGCTGTTTGTTTGTATCACACATATATTGCAGATAGTACAGCATTGAATCACTTATATATTTATTTTATATTTTGAGTTTCTTAAATGTGTGGTACACTTTTAGATTTTAGCAGCAGCACATTTTGTTACATTAGAACAGGTATCTTAGTTTTGTATTGGGAGGTTGTGCATAGAGGTATATTTTTTATAATCTTGTTAAGAAAACAATTTGCTATTTCAACTAGGTAGTGATATACTAGCTGAGAATCAACCTTTTTGTACATTACAGGCTGCATAACACTGAACTGAATGTGCTGCAGCTACATGTAACCAATAAATATAGATGTATAAAATAGACTATTGTGTGTTTGTCATTTTTCATTCTACCACTAAATAGATAATATGTTTGCCTTCCCGAACATTTTTCGCTATAGAATTTATCATTGAATATGAAGATGGCATGCGTGAACCAGGCATCTGGCACCTCCAGACCATAGTTAGTGGTACACAGACTACAGCATCTCTGACTCTTTCTCCATATGTTAACTACTCCTTCCGAGTTATTGCTGTTAATGAAATTGGCAGAAGTGACCCCAGTGTATCTTCTGAACGCTATATGACAAAGGCAGCAGGTTTGTAAAGTTTGTCTAACATGTCTAATCTCATCTCAGTGATGCTAGAATTAATATATTTATTTGTAATGTTTCTGTGCCTTCTATCAGGTTGATAACATGTAGACCAATTTGTAAAAAAGAATTTTTTTTTTTAACCACTTCCCGTCCGCCCTATAGCAGAGATACTGCTACAGGGCGGCACAGGAGCGCAAAATCACGTATATATACGTGATTTCGCATTTCCGGGTAGGGGGCGTGATTCTGAAGATCTCCGACGGGGAGGAGGACTGTTTTGTTTACCAACAGTTCTCCTCCCTGTCAGCTTGGGCACACTGTACAGCACAGCCATCCAGAGCAATGTGATTACAGTGTAGCACACTGACACCACCACCTAGTAAAACACTCCCTGCATACAGTTAACTATAAGTCGCTGATTGCTGCCATTACTAGTAAAAAGAAAAAAAAAAATCCCAGTATATATACCGCCATTTGTAAACGCTATAACTTTCACATAAACCAATTAATTTACACGTATTGGGATTTTTTTTTTGCAAAGACATGTAGCAGAATACATTTTGGTGTAAATTTATGACCAAATTAGATTTTTTAAAATTTTTTTACTGGACATGTTTAAGAGCAAAATGTCAAAAATATTGTTTATTTCTCAAAATTGTCGGCCTTTTCTTGATAGCACAAAAAATAAACGCACAAGCGATCAAATACCACCGAAAGAAAGCTCAATTTGTGGGAAAAAAAGGATGTAAATTTAATTTGGGTGCAGCGTTGCATGACCACACAATTGTCAGTTAAAGTAATGCAGCGCCGTAACGCAAAGAATGGCCTGGTCAGGAAGGGGAGTAAATTCTCAGAAGGGCAAGTGATTAATAGATTTGTTAGAGTAAGTACTTCTGTCACCTTTTTATTGCTGCCTGTGATATTGTTAGGAAGATTTCACCAAAATTCCTGCCCTGTGACATGGGAACAAGAAATAAGGGGAATGGTCATCACTGGAACAAGAAGACCAAGACAACATTAGTAATTGGACAGTGGTTTTAAACCTTCCATGTTTTACTGAAAAAGTGTTTTGTTGCAGTCTTTACTATTAATGGAGAGATGTCCGATAACTAGAAATCTGTGCAAATGGAACATAGGGAACTGAAAATAAAAACCTGACATACAGTACCTCACTACCCCATGGTAGCCAAACAAAGTATATCTAAAGCCAAAACAATATTTAAAACCGCATTTGAGTTTTTGCCATCTGTGTCACATTGGGGAGATTTCCTTTCACGCCTTGTCGTGCAGAGACAAAAAGAAGTGGGAGGAATTCCCTGTTAGATAGTTGTTACCTATTGGAAAAATGTCCCCTCAATTTCAGTTTTGGTGACAAATCTAAGTTTTAGATTTTTACTCAGTTTCAGTCCGAATGAAAATCATCACCAGGACAAATATATAGGATAATAATTCTTACCATCAGGGGCACAGAGGGGGTAATTTGTGCAAGATAACTAACCCGCTTCTATCTTCAGCACAGCTGATTGGTTGCCATGAACAGCTGCTACAGATTCTTGCTGCTCCAGTGTTAATAAATTACCATGAGACAGCAATACAATTCTGACATAAGTTTTAACTATTCCCTACTCGTCCCTAAGTTCTAAAACTTATAAAATGCTTTTAAAAAGTTGACCTGAGTTGAGCTTTAAAGATTCAAACACATATTAACACCTTTCTAAGGACTTGTCCATGAGTGCAGCTACTAATGCCTTCTAATCCAATTACCTCAATTTCTACTACATAAAGGGAAATAGTCATTATTATCTTAAATAATAAGTCACCAGCCAAATACAAGAATGGAGCTAGAAGAGTGTTGGGTCACCTGACCTGCATACACATTGATTTACTAGTAGTGAAGTAAGGGCAAAAATGGAGCTCTAGAGCAGGGGTAAGCAACGTTTTGAGCATGGTGCCAAAAAAATGTTTTTTGAAGAAATTGAGAGTGCTAGTTATAAAAAAAACCTCAACTTTTCACACTCAATCATAAAAAGGAATTTTTATAAAGTAAACTCTGTAAACTATTTGAATAGTAAGAAAACATTGAGCTTGCAAAGATGGTAAATGGTAACTTACCCCTTTTCCATAACACATGTGCTGAACACGTGCTGTGAGGCAAGTATGGTAAGGTTGAAAATACATGTCAACTAAGGCAAGTATGGTTGAAGGTTGAAAATACATGTCAACTAAGGACTTCTGCAAAAAATACAGTTGGAAATGAAGTGTGAGATGATAGTGGTCACCCTAATAAAGTTCTCTCAGATCAAACCCAATCTGTGCACCTTCAGACCCTAAATCAGCCCTCATTCCTGCACCTTCACACCTCAGATCACCCTAAATCCTGCACCTTTGCACCTCAGATCACCCTAATTCCTGCATCTTTAAACCTCAGATCACCCCAATTCCTGCACCTTTTTACACCTCAGATCAGCCATTATTCCTTCACCTTATACCTCTGTTCACCCCAAATCCTGCACTTTTGCACCCCAGATCAGGCCCAATTCATGTTTCTTCAGGCATCAGATTAGCTCCAGTTTCTTCACTTTCATGCCCCAGATCAGCCCCAATTCCTGCATCTTTACAACTCAGATCACTCCAGTTCTTGCATTTTCACACCCCAAAAGCCCCAATTCCTAATACTTCAGGTCTCAGATAAGCCCCAATTCCTTCACCTTTACACCTCAGCTCAGCCTAGTTCCTGCACCTTCACATCTCAGCTCACACCACCGCCTGCACCTTCACACCTCAGATTGGCCCCAAATCCTGCACCTGCACACCTCAGATCATCCCAATTCATGTACCTTTACATCTCAGAGCAGCCTAATTCCTGCACCTTCAAATCTCAGTTCACATCAATGCCTGCACCTTCACATCTCAGATCACACCAATGCCTGCACCTTCACACCTCAGATTGGCCCCAAATCCTGCACCTTCACATCACCCAAATTCCTGCACCTTTACATCTCAGATCAGTCCCAATTCTTGCACCCCCAGGCTTCAGATCATCCGCAATTCCTGTACCTCCAGGCCTCAGATAACCCCCAATTCTTGCACCTTCACACCTCAGATCACCCCAATCCCTGCACTTATGCACTTCAGATCTTCCCAATTCCTGCACCTTCACACCTCAGGTCAGCCCCAATATTTGCACCTTCACACCTCAAATCCGTTCCAATTTTTGCATCTCCAGACCTCAGTTCACCCCGATTCCTGCATTTTTACAAACCAGATTAGCTCCAATTCCTGTTCCTTCAGGCCTCAGATTAGTCCCAATTCCAACATTTTCACACCTCAGATCACCCAAATACCTGCACATTTATACCTCTGGTCATCTCCAATTACTGCACCCTTACAGCTCATATCACCCCAATTCCTGCACCTTAACACTTCAGCTCACCCCAAATCCTGCTCTTTCACACCTCATATCAGCCCCAATTCCTGCACCTTCGCACCTCAGATCAGCCCCAATTCCTGCACCTTCACCCTTCAGAACAGCCCCAATCCATGCACATCCAGGCCTCAGATCAGCCCCAATTTCTGCACCTTCACAACACCTTAGCTCACCCCAATTCCTGTAACTTCACACCCTATTCAACGACAGTTCCTGTGCCTTCAGGCCTCAGATCAGCCCCAATTCCTGCACCTTCACACCTCAGATCAGCCCCAGTCCCTGCAACTTCACACCTCATTCTCCAGTGACAATTCCTGTGCCTTCCGACCTCAGATCAGCCCCAATTCCTGCTCATTCAGGCCTCAGATAAGCTCCAATTCTTGAACCCCCAGAACTCTGATCACAATTCTTGCACCATCACTCCTTAGATCACCTCAATTCCTGCACCATCACACCACAGATCACACCAATTCCTGCACCTTCAGACCTCAAATCAGCCCCAATTCCTGCACCTCCAAGCCTTAGATCAGCCACAATTCCTGCACCTTCACACCTCAGATCAATCCCAATTTCTGCACCTCCCCCCCTTAATTCACCACAATTCTGCATTTTTACAACCCAGATCAACCCCAATTCCTTTTCCTTCCAGCCTCAGATTAGTCCTAATTCCTGCATTATCCCATCTCAGGTCTCCCAAATGCCTTGTCACGATATAGGGTCAGGTTCAGAGACCAGTTGCTACAGCAGTTGTAAGGCTTACCTGAAACCAGCAGGATTGGTACACCAGCGGCCCACCCTGGGAATGACGCAGGCTCACCTGAGGTGCGGGGTCTAAGCATCCACCGGTCTTCCCCAGAGCTCCTAATGGTGGAGATGGATTTGGCTGCGTGTGAATGCCAGGTCGCAGGACTCAGGATCACCCCACCAGGGAATGAGTAGGCTGGAAACCAAAAGCGGATCAAACAGTTCAGGGATCAAACAGAAGCGGAGTCAGTCACAAGCCAAGGATCGGTCACCAATGGTAGTAGATAGGATGAGGCAGAATCATAGTCAGTAGCAAGCCAAAGGTCGGTAACGTAGATGAAGCCAGCAGCAGGACCAGTAAGCGGGATATTGGCTGGCAATAATCTGGCAACCAGGAAGTGCAGAGGCATGGCTTTTATAGGAAGTTCATGGGAGGAGCAAGGAGTTCAAGGTTCAAGACAAAACAGGGAAAAGGCAGGATCATCCAAAGAATTGTCAAGGGAGCTGTCCAGCATTCCAGGTGGCTCAGTGAGAAGAAACACTGTCTCTCACCGCAGAAGGCCCAGGTTCGATTCCAGGCTCTGACATGCCTTCACCTTTACACCTCTGATCATCTCTAATTCCTGCACCCTTACAGCTCATATCACCCCAATTACTGCACCTTCACACTTCAGCTTACCCCAAATCGTGCACTTTCACACCTCAGATCACTTCTATTTCTGTACCTTCACACCTCAGATTACCTAATTAATGCACTTTCACACCTCAGCTCACCCCAATTCCTGCACTTGTTACTCATAAAAGATTGCTGTGGATAGCCATTTGAAGATGAACTACTCTGGCTTTATCCCCTCCAAGCTTAGCCACATGGATGCTGAAGGAGAGAAATGTTCAGAGGGAGGGCAAGTACACCGACAGTAAAAGCCTGACCATGAGCTGGCTCAGGCTAAAAGAGTGTTGAACCACAGAGGAGGAAAAATACTGAATATTAATTACCCTTCCAAAGTGAGAACAAGTAGCCTAGGGAATCTGACACAGCTTCAGTATGGAGACAGCAGCGCAGGAGCCGACACCAGCAGAAATGGAGGTGGATGGGCAACAGCCACACTGCTTCTTCTGCTTGTAGCTGCTGGCCAGCTTTATTGTTTGGGAGGTGTGTCTCCCAGGACTGCACTTGGGTGCTGTCCTTGATGCTGTTGCTTGCCACCTCCAGCACTAGTGCCAGGGGGTTGCCTACCCCTGCTCTAGAGTATTTCCAACCAGTTATTTTTTTGTTATGGGTAAAGCTGGGATGGGTCACTGCATTTTCCAGTTTTCAAATTCAGTTCATTGCCCCCATTTGGGAGATTTTCACTTCCTGTTCTAATATTTGCCACCTTGGCAGGAAGTGGTACAATATTTTCTTAGTGAGGACAGCGATAAATAATTGACAAAAGTTTCCTAAAAGTAAAGCTTTTTCCTGTTTGTGTTCTTTTTGGAGAGATTTCTCCTTCCCTTCTGTCCCTGAGCTCCCTTTCATACTAAATAATATCAGCAGCTGGGATACCACTATAAAACCCTTTTATAAGTTTTAACCCTTCACCACTTTATTCAAAACTAGAAAAAACATTTTGCCTAGAGTTGTGCCATAAAAATGCAAAAAGAGCAGTAGCAAAGTAGTTCCCATCTTCCTACCTTGACAGGTTTTCTTTGGTCATTTTTGCCTGATAAAGTCCTTTTTAGTGGCTCTGAAACACTGATTTTTCCATGTGACAAATGTGTATTTTATCTTGAGCATGTTTTGATGTGCTGGTAAACGTTTTTTCATTTAGTTCATAGTAAAATGTATAATGTTTATATTTAATGTTTGGTTAAATCATTTCTTTTTCATAGTAGTTTAAAATACACTGCTCCAAAAAGGAACACTTTTTAATCAGAGTATATCATCAAGTCAATTAAACTGCTGGTATATTTATCTGGTCAGTTAAGTAGCAGAGGGGGTTGTTAATCAGTTTCAGCTGCTTGAAATTAACAACAGGTTCACTAGATGGGCAACAGTGAGACGACCCCCAAAACAGGAATGGTTTTCCAGGAGGAGGACACTGACATTTTTTTCCCTTCTCATCTTTTCATTTGGTTAGGGTCAGTGTCACTACTGGTAGCATGAGGGGATACCTGGACTCTACAAAGGTTGCACAGGCAGTCCAACTCCTCCAGGATGGCACGTCAATACGTTCCATTGCCAGAAGGTTTGTTGAGTCTCCCAGCACAGTCTCAAGAGCATGGAGGAGATTCCAGGAGACAGGCAGTTACTCTAGGAGAGCTGGCCAGGGCCATAGAAGGTCCTCAACCCATCAGCAGGACCAGTATCTGCTCCTTTGTGCAAGGAGGAACAGGATGAGCACTGCCAGAGCCCTACAAAATGACCTCCAGAAGGCCACTGGTGTGAATGTTTCTGACCAGACAGTCATAAACAGACTTTATGAGGGTGGCCTGAGGGTCCGACGTCCTCAAGTGGGCCCTGTGCTCACTGCACTATAGAGCTCGATTGGCATTTGCCATTGAACACCAGAATTGGCATGTCCGCCACTGTGTTTTTCACAGATGAGAGCAGGTTCACCCTGAGCACATGTGACAGACGTGAAGGGGTCTGGAGAAGCCATGGAGAATGTTATGCTGCCTGTAACATCGTTCAGCATGACCATTTTCGTGGTGGGTCAGTGATGGTCTGGGGAGGCATATGCATGGAGGGACACACAGACCTCTGCAGACTAGACAATGGTATTGTGACTGCCATTAGGTATTGGGATGGAATACTTGGACCCATTGACAGACCCTACACTGGTGCAGTGGGTCCTGGGTTCCTCCTGGTGCACGACAATGCTCGGCCTCTTGTGGCGAGAGTATGCAGGCAGTTCCTCGAGGATGAAGGAATTGATACCATTGAATGGCCCCCATATTTGCCTGACCTAAATCCAATAGAAAACTTCTGGGATATCATGTTTTGGTCCATCCAAAGATGCCAGATTGCACCTCAGACTGTCTAGGAGCTCAGTGTCACCATCTGTCGTCTCATTAGGAGCATGCCCCAATGTTGTCAGGCATGCATACAAGCACATGGGGGCCATACAAACTACTGAGTACTATTTTGAGTTGCTGCAATGAAATTTCAGCAAAATGGACTAGCCTGCTGCATCATTTTTTCACTTTGATTTTCGGGGTGTCTTTGAATTCAGTCCTCTGTAGGTTGATAATTTTAATTTCCATCAAATGATGGGGCATCCTTACGTTCCTAACATATACCCAGTCCATATCAGCATAGATATCCAGCATGATAATTTTCCCCATTGAGATCGGATGTGTTTTCAAAGTGTTCCTTTCATTTTTTTGAGCAATGTATATTGTTGCAATAATTAAATGTATGACTTATCTCCAATTATATACAGAAGGAACTTTGTGGTTATTAAATTGGTATTATATAATGTATTTAGGGGATAATTATAACTTGCTAAAGATCTAAAAAGTAACTAAATTAATACAATTATAACATTTTCAGAGCCTGATACAAACCCTTCTGGTATTAAAGGAGTCGGTACAGAGCCAGATAATTTGGTAATCACATGGAATGTAAGTATACTCAGCTTTCTCTTCAAACTGATTCCTTAAAGACTATGTAAACCCAACATTTCATATTCCTGACATGTGCCTGCTGTACCATGTACTTGTATGAAAAAGTATCCTGCATTCTTTGTATTGCTTCCTTTGTGTGAAATCCCTGGTGTTCCTGCCAGTCACTCTACTTCTATAAAAAAAAAAAATGACCACTAAGCAGGAGAACACACCATGGCCCAGCCTGTTCTCCTGCAATAATCAGGCTTGTCTTTACACCCCCCCTTCCTGCACAGTCATGCACTGGGAAGTCCAGTGTACTGCTGTTTCTCCATCCCCAGCTCTTATGCAGATTAGAACAGAGGGAATGTGATCTCTTATAAAAAAAGGGGGGGAAAGGGTATTTATAATGTTTTTTTTATATCTGTACACAAATATTTTGCCTTTCATTTCTATTTTAAACTGAATGGGTTGTTTTACAAGATAAGGGTTTACAATCATTAATGTTTGAAAATTTAGTATAGATACCTCATGATCCTCCACATCAGGGATATTGCATTAAAATTCAAGGACGTCCAGTCAGAAATATGTTCTTGCAGCACATCATAGCCCCTACCCCCTTCATATTACAGTCTCCTTTCATATCACAATCCCCCACTTCACATCACAGCCCTCTCTGTCAAATCAAACACACCTTCACAGCCTCCTGCATATCACAGATACCCCCCCCCCCCCCTTTACATCACAGCCCCTATTCACTTTACAGTGCTCCCTTTACATCAGTTTTGTCATTCCCCCTTCACACTGTGATATCAAAGTCCCCACGTTACAACACTCCCACATATCACAATCCCCCTATACATCAGTGTCCTCAGTCCCCCTCCATATCACAGGCCCTTTCACATCACAGACTTCCCTTCACAGCACAGCCCCCATTCTTCACATACCTATCTTATACAGCTTCATGGTAGAATGGCAGAGGACAGGAAGCAGAGCAGGTCTGGAGGGAGGGCAGGAGCTGACCAACTGCGCATGTTAACAAGGGCATGATTGATTGGTAGGATGTGGGGTGGCTCTAGCAACCATAGAAATACAGTGGTGGGGGGAGGAAACCCAGGAGAGGAATCTGGCTGCACTGGAGAGGGTGAAAGAAGCAGAGAGAGAGGAACACTTAGGCTGCTAAGTGACATTGCCATGGTGCCCCCAATCAAGTGGCACACAGGGCATGTTCCATAGCTTTTATATCCTGGATACACCACTGTGAATAGTATTCCTTTATTAGAAATTCTTCCTTAACTTGATAGAAGTGTCACTCAGTCTTGGTCCAGACTGTGGTCCACCATTTAGTGATGCCTGCTCTACAGCAGCTGATACAGCACATCAAGAGTTGGAGGAAGTTGTCAAAGTTAAGGATACTAGGATAATTGCCACAATGTGAAACATGCACACCAACCTAACCCAAATAACCATACTCTGATTCTTTTCATATTTGATTTGATTCTTTACATATATGATTATTTAAAATGTCTATTTAACTATTTAAAAATATATTTCTATGTGTATAAGTCCATAAATATATTGGGACATACACATTGGTCATGTTGGTGTAAGTTAAAGCAGAACTTCACCCTAAAAGGGAAGTTCAGCTTCTTCTAAACCCCCCCCAACATTTTTGGGACTTTTTTTTGGGGGGAGGGGGGTGTTGGGTACCTAAGTCTGACAGATACACACTCCCACTTCTGGTGGGATTGCCTAGGTGATTCCAGCAGACGATCGGACCCCCGCTCACAACCTCCTGGGATACAGCACATGTATCAGGAAGCTGCAGGTCCATTCAAAAAGCACAGAGTGACTTGTGCATGCGCAGTCGGAAGCCAGCTGTGAAGCTTCAGGGAGTAACAACCGGCTTCCCACATCCAAAGACCAGCAAAGAATGGCCCAAGTGAGGACAGCGCTGGATCCCTGAACAGGTAGGTAAATGTTCTTTTATTAAATGTCAGCAGCTACAGTATTTGAAGCTGCTGACATTTATTTTTTTTTTAACTGACTGAAGAACCTCTTTAACTAGTCAAGTTCTGGAAATATGTTTTACTACTTTACTGTATATAAAAGCAGAGTGTTGAATTATCACTAATAATTATTGCCTGCCTCATTCTCTCCAATACAGCCTTTAGGAGGTTTTGACTCCAATGGACCTGGTCTGCAGTACAAAGTCAGCTGGAGACAGAAAGATTTTGATGAAGAATGGACATCTGTCACAGTTGCAAATGTTTCCAAATACATAGTGTCTGGCACACCTACCTTTGTTCCTTATGAAATAAAGGTTCAAGCATTAAATGACCTTGGCTATGCCCCTGAGCCAGCTGTTGTAATAGGACATTCTGGAGAAGATCGTAAGTCTCAGAGGTCTTTACAGTGATCTAAAATCCAATTTAAAAAAAAACAGAAGTAAATGAGTCTACTGTGCACCACAATGACCTCTTGTTAAATATTTTCTTATGTTTTCAGTTCCCATGGTTGCTCCTGGTAATGTTGAAGTAGAAGTTATTAATGCCACTTTAGCAAAAGTTCAATGGGACTCAGTTCCTCTGACATCAGTCAGGGGTCACTTGCAGGGATACCGGGTGAGTATTATAGTTTGTCTCCTACTAATAGTTTAATGTTGCAGTTATGCAGTTACTCAATACTCTGTCTTTATGAAAATAATTGCTGTCTTGCTAGCTATTATTCTGGTCCTAAAGTAAAAGCCAAACACTTTATACTTTATGTCTGCAAAGTTACCCTTACATATAGCCACACATTTATGAGTTTATGTTTTGCACAAGGTTTGACCTGCTTAGCCTGTTTGTTACATGTGCTATTCAAGCTTTCCTATATTCTGTAATATTGTTTCAAATAATAAATATTGCTGGTAAATTAAACATAGTTATATTCAAAATATGATAAACATAGCTATATAGTTAACATATAGGGACAATTCACTAAGCGGTATCTTACCGCATCCAAGTTTGCAGTAAGATACCGCACAGCATTTTTCAAAAAGAACATTGGCATTCACTAAAAAACACTACTAAAGTACTGCATGAGTTATATTATTAAGTCTTGCGGTATTTTAGTAGTGAAAACATGTGGTAATCTGTCAGCTGTCAGTGGGTTCCCTGCTGACAGCTCAATGAAAATGAATGAAAAAAAGAATTGTTGGCCATTATAAATTATTAAAAAAATGGCATGGCCTCCCCCCCCCATCCATACCAAGCCCTTCATCTGGTATGGATTTTGAGGGGAACCCCCACGCCAACATTTGTATTTAAATGGTGTGGGATTCCCCCATAATCTCTACCAGACCCTTATCCAAACATGCAGCCCGGCAGGCCAAGAAAGGGGGGTAGGGAGCAGGCACCTGAACCATACCAGGCCACATGCCCTCTACATGGGGAGGGTGTGCTTTGTGGCAGAGAGGGCTCCCCCCAAAGCACCTTGCCTCTTCCCCGCAACCCTGGCTGGTAGTTGTGGGGATCTGCAGGAGTGCCCCCAGATCCCACCCCCATCCATGTGAATGAGTATGGGGTACGTGGTACCCCATACTCATTCACCAAAAAAAAAGTGTAGTGTAAAAAAACACAGAAGACAGTGTTTGACAAGTCCTTTATTAAAAAGACAAAACTAAAAAAAGGCCCCCATTGTAGATCCATCGTCAACCATGATGCCTTCCACCACCGCCGACTGAAAAAAGGCTCCCGCCCCCTGACAGTTCTTAAATATCTAAGGGGCGGGGCCACCTGGTGAGGTCACTGGGTGGCCACGCTCACTTGTGACATCATTAACAGGGGCATCAACAGTACAATACAATTCATAAATTGCTATTAGTTCACAAAGGTAGAAAAGTGTTTCAAATAAAGTGCTTGAGGTGATTGTAGCCGTATTAGTGCATTTGCGACAGAAACAATTGAGTACTGTCCGTGATACTTTTTTTATTTGCACTAACATACAATTTTAAGGACAAGCTTTTGGGGACTGAAATTCTGGGATAAAAAAGTGACTGTGCTCCATGCTGTCAGGAACAGGACAGTCCTTTTTCAGCACGGAGCAGTCACGTTTTTGTCCAAGCTTTTCAGCACTTTAATTGAAACACTTTTGTACTTTTGTCGACTAATAACACTTTATGAACTGTGTCGAATGGGAATATGTTTATGATCTTATACTTTGCACAGGATACTGGTTAGCGCTGTTATTTTATTGTCTGTTTTATGTGAGGTTTGTGGTTGCACAACAATAGTAGCAGCAGCAGCTTCCCAGTAATTTATTTATTTGTCTGCACAGATTGGAGATAACACATTTGTCCCAGGTAGCTCATCTATTGTATAATTTATGAATCTTATCAGTTTGTTTGCCCTTATCTGCACTTTCTACAGTTCTCCAATAAGGGGCAACATTATCTCTCTCTCTAGACTATATCTCTTTTAATCGCTTGACCCCTTCATGACCAGGGCATTTCAGCACTGTGCTAATTTAACTGGCAACTGCTCGGTCATGCAGCACTGTACCCAAATTAAATTTATATAATTTTTTTCACACAAATATAGCTTTTTTTTGTGGTATTTCCTCATCACTGGATTTTTAAAAATGTTTTGCTATATAAATGAAAGAAAACTGCACATTTTATGACGAGTTTCTGTCATAAAATTTTGCAAACAAAAAATTTTCTTCAAAAATATAGGCCAAAATGTACAGTATTGTACTGCTTTTTCTTGGTAAAAATGAACCCAAACCAGTGTATATTATTTAGTCTGTGTGAAAGTTATAGGGTCTACAAAACAATTGAGTACTGTCCGTGATACTTTTTTTATTTGCACTAACATACAATTTTGAGGACAAGCTTTCGGGGAATGTAATGTTCTTCAGGTCTAATCAGTACTGAAACAAAGATTTAGCAGAATGTTGGAAGAGATGTAGGGGATGGGAAAAAAAACAGAGATAAGATACAGCAAAAGCAAAGTCTGGGGGGGGGGGGGGGGGAGACAACACTAGCAGAGGCACCTGCAAAATGGAAGGGTCTACAAACTATGGTATATATAGTACATTTGAAGTTTGATCAATCCTGATGTGCTGAAAGACTATCTCATTTCTTGAAGCCCTAAAATGCTAGGACAATACAAATACTACTCAAATAACCCCTTTTTTGGAAAACAGACAGTTTAAGAGGCATGGTGAGTTTTTTGAAGTTGTAATTTTTTTTTTCACAGTTTTTTTTTGAAAATTAGGAAATTGAATTCAACCTTTTTTTCACAATTTTTTTTAACATACTGTCACCAATGCAGCACAGCTTCATCACATGACCGGTTTGGCGGTGATCAGAGATAATGATGGGTCAATTTTTTTAAAACGTTTTTTCTTTTTATTAACATTTGTTTCCATTTTTTTATAGTATTTTTTACATACTGTCATTGTTATTATTGTAAGCCATAGTTTTTAACTGTCATTTGTGGCAAAAACTCTTATATGTGACTTTTATCCAACTATAGAAGTTAAACTAATCAGTGTATAATTTTTTGGTAAAGACTTTTGAACCCTTTATAAATATAGACACACCCTTGGCTTTGTGCCAGTCCAGAGGTACCACACCAGTCATTAATGTTATAAACAATGGCTTTGAAATAACAGAGCTCAATGCTTTGAGGATACATGGGTGCAAGCCGTTTAGTTCAGGTGCTTTATTCACCTTTTAATTTTTGTTTTAAGTTTCTGGACCATCTCAATTTTTGAGCCATTGTGGTTGTTTTGGGACTATGTCAATATTATCCCCATTATGGACTTAAAGTGGTTGTAAAGGCTGAAGGTTTTTTACCTTCATGCATTCTATACATGAAGGTAAAAAACTTTCTGTGTGCAGCAGTTCTCCCAGCCCCCTCAATACTTATCTGAGCCTCATCATGACAGCAATGTGAATGACAGCCTCGGCTGTCCCGGGTTTCTGCCTTCTCATTGGCTGAGAGAGCAATTTGGAGCCATTGCCTACTGCTGCTGTCAATCACAGCCAGTCAGCCAATGAGGAGAGAAAGGGGCGGGACTAAGCAAGGGCTTCATGTGTGAATGGACACACGGAACAGCGGGTGCCCCCATAGCAAGCCGCTTACTGTGGGAGCACCATACAGGAAGGAGGGGCCTGGAGAGCCTGCAGGGGACCTGAGAAGAGGAGGATCCACGCTGCTCTGTGCAAAACTACTACACAGTAGGTAAGTATCTGGTTCTGCACTGCCGTATAGAAGAAATACTGCTACAGGGCAGCACAAGTGCGCAAAATCACGTGTATATACAGTATCTCACAGAAGTGAGTACGCCCCTCACATTTTTGTAAATCTTTTATTTTATCTTTTCATGTGACAACACTGAAGAAATGACACTTTGCTACAATGTAAAGTAGTGAGTGTACAGCTTGTATAACAGTGTAAATTTGCCCTCAAAATAACTCAACACACAGCTATTAATGTCTAAACTGCTGGCAACAAAATGGAGTACACCCCTAAATGAAAATGTTCAAGTTGGGTCCAAAGTATCAATATTTTGAATTTTTGAGCCCTTGATTTCCTTTTTACATATTCGGTTATACACTTTGCAACCTTTACACAATGATAGTGTTCCTTAATTTTTATATTTATTTAAATTCCATTTTCTTATAATTTATAGCTTCTCAAATGTTGAATGTGAGCTATATAGGTTTTACAGTCAATTTTTATTTAGTGTTCTTGAATGATAATATTCCAGTGGAGAGCAGCCCTCAGCCTTGGAAAATGTGGTCTCTTAAAATTAGATGTTTTTATTCTTCTTGTATGTTTACAGCTTATATTAATTGAAATCATGTTATGATCTCTGCTCCCAAGATATTCCTTTATATGGACATTAGTAATAAACTCTCCATGGTTTGAGATTACCACGTTCGGCATAGCATCATTTCTAGTTGGGGATTTTATAAACGGTTCCATAAAATTGTCTTGTGATAGGTTTTTACATTTACATTTTTAATGTATACAATTAATCTATAGCTGTACAACAACTTGGGCATATTTCTGATATCCTTACCACCTGGATATTCTATAAGTAAGCACATTCTGTCCTTACATGGGATGCCCCTCTTATATCCCCATTCAGGCTGGTTGATTCCCTTTTTTGGTAATCTTTAGTGAAATAGCTCCACCCAATGGGCTAATAGGAAAGCTCATCCTGTGTTCCCTACTCTTATGTCATTCTATACGTACCTTGACATAGTTTTTCAGTTACAACCACGTAGGGACTCTTGTAGGGTCTTGGGGCCTTCCCAAACTGTATCTTTGTAAATAAGTTATTCTCATAAGATCCAATTCCCCTTCTTCTGTTTCATCAGCAGCATTAACCTTACTTTGAACTGCTCTTCTACATGTGGACAGGGTAGCCTGGAGGCCAGTGTTCTCTTACCTCCATGGTATTTCTTTTTGGTCCTTGAAACCATCCTGTCCTGTCCTGTTGGTCACCATGAAATCTCGCCTTTTGATCCCCTTAAAGGTCCGGGGGTCAGGCATGACATGTCTGTGTGCCATGTCACCCTTGGAACCTGCTCCTCTTTTCTCTTCATTCCTTACTGGAAGGTCTGCCCATGGGGTTCCTCCCTCTGCTTCCACCTTCTCATGGGTGGTCATTTTGCCCCCTTCTTTTCACAGGACTTTCTAGGAGTCTGTGCCTCCTTCACTTCCTGGGTCCTTGCCCCTCGTAGTAAATGAGTTATGTGGGCCTATACAGCGCCTAGAGTCTGGACTCTTTTGGGCAGAGCCACCACCAAAAGTCTGTTTCACATTTCTCCTAAACCATTGTTTGGTAGCCGGCTATTGAGTATCTGATGTTGCTCCAGCAGCATGGTACTTTTACTGTTGTTAATTTGTTTTGGGCATGTTGACATTCTTGTTTTTTTTTCCTGTGAGCCTATTGCTGCTGCTTAACTGAATTGTTTCCCATCCCTCGATTATTGCTTGGGGATGTCTCAGGGTCTATGAATCAATTCCTATGTCCTGTACTGTATGAAAAAAATTTAGATGTACCTGTAAATTCTGTATGTTAGAGTACAGTACAGGCCACATGTCCCTCCCTTCTCTTCTCAGTGATCTCTTTATTGCTTTTTAACAAAACTGGAGCCTAACAGAGTGGGCATGGTTATATGGGGAAACTAGAGGGACACTTTTTTTCCAGTGTGCAGTCACTTGAAGAAAGCAGTTTATAACCCATGGTCAATGATTCAATCCCTGTACTGTACTTCAAGATACAGAATTTACAGACATAGCAGGATTCATTTTTTTCTTTGACACATTCAGTATGCATAACCAATGTTAGCGTATTGTGTATTTGATTTTTTCCATTGATTTTCCTGTCACCCCATTGCATATTGCAGGTATACTACTGGAAAGCACTAAACCGAACAAACAGAAATAGAAGACATATTGAAAAATGGATGCTAACATTTGCTGGAAACAGGACCCATGGGATGCTTCCTGGATTACAGCCTGACACCAACTACATCCTTAATGTGAGAGTTGTCAATGGAAAAGGGGAAGGCCCATCCAGCAAGGATAAATACTTTGAGACACCTGAAGGAGGTAATCAATTAAACAGTTGATAAGGTACCTTAAAAAGACAAATCCAGTGATACTTCACTGACCCACTTCTGTGATTTAGGTTTTCTGGGTTTGGATCTACAAGGCTGCATATTAGTGGGTATTACTATATAGTAAGAGGTCATAACTGAAGCATAGATTTTTAAATGATTCCAGCAAATCAGTTCCCACATCTTGACTGGTTGAGGTGATATACCAGGCAAACACTGCATATAAAAAAAGGCCTGTACTCAAATTTTGTGTTCCATCAAAATCCTAAATGTGTTTTCTCAAATACTTCTGGCCTATTTTTAGATACAGATGTGTCACTAAAGATGAAGGTTCCTAGACTGTGAGCTAATCAGGCTGTTTTGCATTGCACAATGCTAACAGCCTATCATGAAGCTGAAACCAATAATGTTTAGGAAGCTCATTTAGGGGGTGCACAAGGAGGACCCCAGCGGTTTAATTGGTCCAATGAGCAGGTGAAATAGAAAGCTGTAAAACTGCTATAGGACGTAATAGTACAATACTGACTATGCAGTGTATTAGGGGTATGTGACAAAACTAGTTAAATAGAAAGACAATTGCTAAAAGCAGAATAGTTCTCAGATATGTATTCAGCTATGCGTTTAACTGATTGCCTGCTGTTTACCTTTATTTAATTAACTGACAGCAAACATGATTAAAAGACTTGCTACTGTATTTACCAGTGAATTAACTAATTGACCTGCCAGAGAGTGGAAATCTAGAACCCCACACTCTCTAAACGTGCTATATTTTTATTTCTTTGAAATTCATCAACCCTGGAACCAAAAGACTTGGAACAAAGTCACAGAAGATCTTTATCCTCCCATATTTATTCCTAAAGGGTGTTTTTTTCAGTGAAGAGGAAGCCTGGAGTGGTATGAAGAAGGCAGAGAACCCCTGCAAAGTATCTTTAAATTGAATCTACCAAGCTACAGTAGTGTAGATTTTAATTTCTAATAAAAAAAATTTCTGTTTCCGTTTTTTGTATTAAGTAAGGCATCCTCCTCTACTTGTGTCCAGGACAGAAGACAGCACCTGCACCAAAGGGCCACATACAGTCATGGCCAAAAATATTGGCACCCCTGCATTTCTGTCATATAATGCACCACTTCGCCCAGAAAATTGTTACAGTTGCAAATGTTTAGGCATGCTCATGTTTATTTCTTTTGGTTGTATTGGTATGACACAAAAAGGAGGAGAAACAAAACACCAAATCTGACACATTTCACTCAAAACCCCAAAAATAGACTGGACAAAATTATTGGTACCCTCATCTTAACATTTGGTAGCACACCCCTTGGAAAAAATAAGTGAAGTCAATTGAAATCAATGCGTTTCTTAAACCTCTCTACTGGAATTTTAGACCACTCTTCTTTCGCCAACTGCTCCAAAGGTTTCCTTTTCCCAATTGATATTTTGAGATCTCTCAACAGGTGCTCTATAGGATTGAGATCTAGACTCATTGGTGGCCAGTTCAGTTCTCTCCAGCGCTTTGTCTTAAACCATTTCTGGGTGCTTTTTGACATGTGTTTTGGGTCATGTCCTGCTGACCTCTGACAGACACCCAACGTTCTGACATTGGAACCTACATTGTACACCAGAATTCTTTGGTGGTCTTCAGATTTCATAATGCCATGCACACTGTCCAGACTTCCAGTGCAAAGCAGCAGCAAAGCAACCCCAAAACATACGTGAACCTCCACTATGTTTGATTGCTTTTTTTTTTTTTTTTTCTGTTTCTCCACTATTTTTGTGTCATACCAATACAAACAAAAGAAATAAACATGAGAATGCCTATACTTTTGTAATTGCAACAGTTTTCTGGGCAAAGTGGTGCATTATCTGACAGAAATAAAGGTGTGCTAAAATGTTTGGCCTTGACTGTAGATTGCCTGTAGTTTCCCTTCCTCCTCCAGTACCAACCTTCCAATAGCTTGGCACAGAGAACCTCAACACCTATCAGCATCAGTCTAGTTTTTTTTTTGTTTTGTTTTTTTAAAGAGGGGGCATTTCTTTTTTATACACTTTTATTACAAATTTGTCGCCTAATGCTTAAGAACATTCCTATTAGTGTAAAATTAGCATTGACCCACGTATTCAGGTCTCACTGCACAACCTTTAATATCCTTTAAACTCCATATTATTGCCAGTCCCACTCCAGACATGGGTCAATATAAGTAATAGTTAACAATGCAACATGAATGTTTTCTCAGAGCATTTTAGAAGAAATCGCTGGGCTATGAAGACGCTGCTTTTATCTTACATAACCATTACACAGCCAATTGTAAACAACAGAGCTCTCTTTTTTTATTGTTGCTTACATTGCTCAGGGGACTAAAGCTCTTTCCTGCAAGTAATACATGCATTGTAGGCCATTAGACTTTAGGAGTCCAATATTACTGGCAAATGATGCTGCAGAGGAAATGAAGAATTGCAACTCCTTGTATTTTTGTAAAGACGTATTCCATATATTTAATTAAAGACTGACTACGGGAAATCTGAAAATTCTTCCTTACTCTGGAACAGCGCCAGGGGAGAGTAAAACCATTTTACTAATCATCTGTTCCCTCAGCAGTTGGGGCTCCCCATACTATGATGGTGGATTGTCCTTGGAGTCCTCATGTCCAATGCAGGGCTATAGACCCAGGATTGGTCTTGATGGCATCAGGACCTTAGACCATGGGAGCATGGAGGAGAAGATGCTGCAGAGACTAAACTAGCAGCATGGAGGTTTGGGTATGTAAATCTATTTTTGCCTACCCTCTAGACATAAATGAACAGTTAACCCTTGCAGTGCAAGTGCTGCCGCAGTGCAAGGGAGAATTTTCAAGTTTCCTGGATTTCAGCATTAACGTTAGTATGTATTTTACCATTTACAAGATTTACCTGTTTTCACAGTTCCTAGTATGGCAGTTTTACAAATTCATCATCGAACTTCTGATTCACTGACTTTGACGTGGAGTCCACCGCTCCATCCAAATGGAGTCCTGACACAATACACTCTGAAGTATCAGTCAAGTAAGTCCAGAGATCAGCTTCTGCTACTGCTAGCTATGTAATTCACACACTAGATCTTCCACCTATGCATTCTAAATAAAATCTGTATGTAACGCCACCTTTGGGGAAAAAAATATTTAAAAAAAAAAAAACAATATAGCATTTACAGTTATGACATAAGCCTTATAGTAATACACCATTATTACAAATTATCTGTCCTTTTCAATCTGCACTGCTGTCATTTTCTGTAAAATGCAATGTAATATGACATCCTAGAGGCATTCTGTACACAAATGGTATATGGAACACCCACCAGAGATGTAATTTCCTGCTTGTTAATTGGCTTACTGATTTTCTAAGAAGTCTGCACTAAAGTACAAGTCAGATTTTGGTAATTCTCTGCAATAAACATTTCAGTTTTGCTGAGATACTCCCAAAAGACTAATCATGTATGAAAGGTAATCAGACCCTGCCACTGCCCTCATTAGAACCCTTCAAGTGCAGCAACTGATCAATAATGAAAAAGTCACTCCCATTCACATGGACACAGACAAACAACTATTTCTTCAGAAAAACAAAAAGTTATCCTCAACAAGGTTTGTTAAAATTCCTGCAATGTACACAGGTCACAGGACACGTAGGTCACACAGAGGGGAATTTTTTCTCAACGAAAGTGGTGTTACTCTTTAACTTTAAAACATTTGTCCAGTGATAAAAATTTAAAGATAGTGGAGTGTTTTTAACAGAAAAACTAAGAGCATTTAACTAAATTACTTCCTATACAAAACCAATGATAAATATAAGCATGTTTCCATCATGATTTATATGAGTCATGCTTCTTTTAAAAACACTGATTATTTTCACTATAGCCTATATGTTAAGCCAAACACAAAGCCATGTACACAAAGACAATGGAGGGGGGTGGTGGTTCTTTAACACTGCTGCTCTTTATAATCTTGTATGAGAAGATCATCAGATCCATTAACCATTTATGGCGATAATGGGCAAAGGTTTGTAGTTGTAAGCAAGAAGTTATGAACTCTTATACCAGCCATAGATGTTTCAAATCTCAGCTGGTTCAGCAGGGACCTGACTGAGATTCGAACCATCAATGGGCAGGCTGATTATACCCAATTTGATTGTTGTACGACTTGGGTACAACCAGCCTGTCAGTTTTTTCATGCGATTATTGCCAGCAACTTTAGCCGCTAGCAATAATTGCTGTGTTCCATCGACAGAGACTAACTGTGTTGATGGGGGAATTGAGCGATTTTCCTTCCTGTAACCATTGGTTGCAGGTAAGAAAATCACATCATCTATGGTCGGCTTTGGGAAAATAAAGATTTGTACTCTTGTCTTCTAAAATGTGATTAGATCAAATCTAAGCCAAAATACAAAGGAATGTCTTATTTAAGAAACAACTCACACATCAATTTACATCTCACCTTTAACTGGTTCTATCTGCTATTGCCCGAGCGGGCCTTTCATCCCTCCAGGTGGATGCCACATAGAAATTCTAAGGATTCCTAAACTTCTGTACTTACTGCTGAACAAAAAACACTTCATATATAGCGTGGCCTGCATTTAAAAGTATTTTGTATAATGGAAATTGTAAATGGTAAATCACAAAAATGTGTTTTAGTGTGCATGTTTTTTGGTCTATAGAATTGCTTTTTGAGCCTATTTAGTACTATAATTTCAATTATTGATCTCTTTATTGTATTCTAGTAAATGCTACACATGAACTAGGCCCACCAGTTGAAATTATAATACCAGCAAATGAATCAAGTTATATTCTTAAAAATTTAAACCAGAACACGAGGTACAAGTTTTACTTTTATGCACACACTGCTGTGGGACCTGGGATCCAAAGTACACAAGAAGCAATAACTGCTATGGATGAAGGTAAGATGGGTATGTACCTGGACATGGATCTATTCTATATGCAAAAGTTGAATTTATAAATAAAGGACTGCTAAATATTTATTTCAGGATATCGACTAACTGCACATTTAGTGTTTAAAGTGATATACAGTGTCACAGATAAAGAAGTATATTTATAAAAGTATATATATTTTTTTTACTATTATTTTAGATAAAGTCCAAATAGCGACTTGAATAAATGAGAGATTTCAGTGAATTATCCCTACATGCAAAATTTCACCAAATATTTGCACAGTATTGTCTGACTGTCTCTGACTTCAGTACTTTCCAAGTCATAGACCCAAAACAAGCCTGGAGATTACTAAGAGTGAAAAAAGAGCTTCTAATCTACATATTTAGTGACTCAGAAAGAGCTGGAGTCATTGGATCATCCAGGGAATTCGCATTTTCAAAAGGAGAGATTGGTAATTTCTTACCACAGGACTTTTTCAGTTTAATAACTGTGGAATACTTAATCATAGAGCTAAATTTCATCCCTGGAGCTTGTAGACACACAAATTTTGGTGCCCCAAGTAACACATACCCTTCTTCTTGGTTCGCCTCAAAACATTTACTTGTTTTACTGGTCCTAACCTGGGTTAGAATATTGTGATAATTTGTAAATACTTATGAGATGCCTGTTACTACTGATGATGAAAAAAAATGTCTGGGCAATATTTACAAAGGGAAAAGTCACTTATTTGCCTTGTCTGCTTATAGACACATGCTTACCATGTCTAGTGGTAAATTCAGAAATATGGTAACCTTGGGAGTATACTGAGAATATATGATCAACAGATCTTCCACGAGTGTTACATGTGAATTATTCTAAAAAAATTCTACCAGATTGCTTTGAATTTGTTTTAAGTTTCAAATGATGAATCTTCCACATAGGTTTTTGTGTCTGTTTAAATTTTTCAAAATGTATTGAGTATCCTTCTGTTTCCATTTAAAGCCGTTTTCCCCCAACCTGCTCTGGGTGCAGGCAAAGGTAAAATGAAGCATTGCATGTTTTGCTTAGCTTGCAAACGTTTGACTTAAAATATTATAAGTGCAACCTAGAATTACAAGCAATGGTCATTAAACTTTATTTAGGATGTTCTGCATGAGTTGAAGCATTTGTTAAATTGCTGCTGGCTTGATGCATGTCATATTTTGAGGTGCTTGGTATTCTTAGTTCCCATTCCCTAATGTATGTCATCCTTGCTGTCCATAAGAAGCATTTTATTGTAAGTTCTTCTAATTTTAAATAGGTATGTCACCTCCTCAATGTTTGTTTTAACCTTAAAGTAATACGGAACACACACTATTTATTTTACTTTATCCCTTCTCTTTCTGTATGTAGATGATGGCACTGTAATTATTTTAATTAAAAAAAAACATTGAAGTACCTTTTTTTCCTAATTGATATACAGCTGTCTTGTGACCCAGCTCTTTTCCAGCCTGTCTGCAGAGACACAGTTGCAGGAGGTGCTTCTAGTCCTCTGCTTCTGGCCACATATTCAAAATAAAAATAAAAAACCCGTCTTTGGGATACAGAGTAAAAATAAATAATTCATATCAATAAACTGTTTTAAATAATTATACAAATATATATTTGAAATCAAATCTTTATTATTTTTTTTGGCAATAAACTGTTGTGAGAGGATTTTTGCCAGTCACAGGCTGCATCACGCCCCTCCAGCCCATGTCTTAGAATAACAGGAGGTGAAGCCTCCATCAATCAAGATTTAATATCCCACCCCCGTTGTGTTTAGCTGGTTAGTGGGCATGGAGAAGGAGGGAAGGAGTGGGCCGTGATTTACCACACTGTATTTGCCCACATTTGTGACTCTACAATCATATGGGCTGCTCAGATGTGATAGGGAGGAAATGCTTAGCATAGAACGTTACTGAAAACTGAGCATGTGCAGTAGCTGCCAACACTGCTCTGCAAAATCTCCAGCTGCACTGGGGACATGGACAGGAGAAGGGAAATAGAGAACAGCAGGATTAACCAGGTTTTCAGCAGAATACAGTAAATTAATCCCGTAGTGACTGAGTGAGTATGAACAGCATGTAATAAAGCATGTATTGATAGTTTTTTATGATGTGGCACTTTAAATAGGCTGAACAATGGCACAACAATCATGTACATATCACACAGTTGCTGGGTAGTTGCTGCGTGAACCAATACACCAAAATGAGCTACATTTGGCTGCAATACTGACTGTTGAATGCAACGTGCAGTTTAACTTTTGCCAAAGCATTGCAGCCACAGCATGTGTACAGCCATTAGTGGCTGCATACCCACCCGTATGACCAAGCTCTAACTAATGACAAATTTATTGCCAAGTAAACAGACCCAGAGCAGAAATGTAAATATTGCTCTGGTTTATATGAGGTATATAGGTGGTGAAGTGGTTAAACTAAGTGTGATGGTTGTGGCACAGCCCAGAGTGCAGGATGATCATACTGTGTCTTGCTGATAGAACTTCTACTGTAGGTAAAACTTAAGAGTAAAACATGCAGTCAATTTTCAGGGAAAGAATTTTAACAGCATTTTGAACAGATTTTGTTGCAATGTTATATCCTTTCTGGTGTGATGGTCCTGGAGCTCTCTCTGTGTCTCAGAATAATTTAATGTGTTGATCTTTCTGATGCCTTCTTCTTATACACTTGCAAAGTAGTTCCCCAATCCCATCCCCTGTCCTGATCCAACAAGAAAGTGACCTGAATGTACTCACCATAAATTTTATGGAGCTTTAGAATATGAGTTTGTTATCTGAAGCTCCAGTGAAATGAATACATCTATAGGAATGCATTGGAGGGTAGAGAGCATGAGCAGGTCCATCTAGGAAGATTATGACAAGCAACTTTGTGACAAATGAACAAAAAAGTGAGAGGGGATTTACTTTATAGGCGGTGCTGTTTATTCTTTAGGTATTATTATATGCACCTAATACCAGTTTTTGTGCCTTTCAGTTTAATATTAGTAAGGTCTACATAGCTGACAGTAGGTGGTAGGCACCTGCAGCAGTTGCACTGTATTTCCTCATAATCTACCAGTCAGAGTAAACTTGTAATTACTGAAGAGATTGTTTTAAAAAAATAAGAGAAATGACATTATCTCACTTTCTTGAGTCTTTGTTAACATTAAACAAGCTTTGCTTTCATAGCTATTCATTCTCCATGCACACTCGCGTCTTTTTCAAGCTAAAAAATGGTGGAAAAAACACTGGCTAAAAAGTGCTGGTAATAGTCTTTTTAGTAGCATTTTAGTAGTGTTTTATTAGTGTTTAGAAGAGTTTAGGAATGTTACCATTTTATTAGCATTTTTATAGTACATGTAGGAAAAAAAATAGAAAAAGCTAGAAAAAAACTGTTAGGAGCAGTTTAGGATCGTTTAGTGTTTTTTTTTTCTGCTGGAAGAAACGCTCCAAAAAACTCTAATAGCCTAAAAGAGTGTACATGAACACATAGGATAACACTATTTAGTTTCTAGGAGCAGAAAAAAATGCTATTAACAGCTTCTAGGAGCTTACAAAAACGCTAGTATGCATGGAGTCTTGAGGTGTTTGGATAAGTAGAAAAGCTTACATGATGTAACACTTTAGCAGTGATTAAAGCCATGACAGTTTGAAAGTATGGTGCTAGCTTCAAAATAAGCTGTGAAAACTACAGATACTGAACAAATACAGATTTTCTTTGTACTGTTGCAAAGTCTCTACATTAACACATTCTGACATCTGCAATGGAACACAGTCCTTTTGTATCTGGATGCAACAGGAAGAAGGGTAAGCTGCACACCGGAGGATAGATAAATATAGTGTGTATTTATTAATCCATAGGACACGCAAACCACCAGGACATGAATACAGGACTTGTTAACGCGTTTCACACGATCGCGTGCTTAATCTGGTTATGATTAAGCACGAGATCGTGTGAAACGTGTTAAGTCCTGTATTCATGTCCTGGTGTTTTGTGTGTCCTATGGATTAATAAATACAAACTATATTCATCTATCCTCCGGTGTGCGGCTGACCCTTCTTTCTGTTGCATCGTGTTGGTGGCGAGCCAGAGCCTGCACCTATCGTGGATTGATCTGGATTGTTTGCCTGAGCTGTATTCCTTTTGTTCTTTTGTATCTGGTACTGAAAATCACAGGAAGTGTCACCAAAGATATTCTTCATAGAGTAATAAACATTCTCCCACTGTATATTAGTAAATCTAAATTGATCATTTTATATATAGTATATCATAGCTGGCTTGGGTGGGCATCAGGGAATCATAAAGGTAATTTACAGCCTTCTTCTTTTTTTCCCCTAACCATTAACTCTGAAAGAAATTGCTGCTCTAGCTAATGGTGAGGAGAACTTTTCCTCTGCATTTTGTTGATAATGTGCATACACACTTGGCTAGTCCACTACAGAAAGGAAGAAAAAATAAATAAATATATATATATATATATATATATATATATATATATATATATACACACTATATTGCCAAAAGTATTGGGACACCTGCCTTTACACGCACATGAACTTTAATGGCATCTTAGTCCATAGGATTCAATAATGAGTTGGCCCACCCTTTGCAGCTAGAGCAACTTCAGCTCTTCTGGGAGGGCTGTCCACAAGGTTTAGGAGAGTGTCTATGGGAATGTTTGACCATTCTTCCAAAACCGCATTTGTGAGGTCAGGCACTGATGACAAGAAGGCCTGGCTCGCAGTACCTGCTCTAAGTCATCCCAAAGGTGTTCTATCGAGCTGAGGTCAGGCCAGTCAAGTTCCCCCACCCCAAACTCACTTATCCATATCTTTATGGACCTTGCTTTGTGCACTGGTGCGCAGTCATGTTGGAACAGGAAGGGACCATCCCCAAACTATTCCCACAAAGTTTGGAGCATGAAATTTTCCAAAATGTCTTGGTATGCGGGCACTTTAAGAGTTCCCTTCACTGGAACAAAGTGGATAAGCCCAACTCCTGAAAAACAACCC